GTTAAAATGTCAAAATAACCCTAAATTAAGTCTTAGACAAAAATAATTACCGTTTATTTTTTCATTTAGAGGCGTAGATAAAAATTTGTACAATATACGTGTGATAACGCTTTATTAACGTACTTTTGCGATTGCCCAACTCGTGCTACGCACTCGTTGGGCAAATTTCGCATGCGTACGTTAATAAAGCTCTTATCCCACTTATATCGTAAATAACTAAAATCGATATCTTTTTTCATTTAGAAACTTCTAATGGACCACGAATGTGAAACACCCTGTATAAGACCGCGATATAGGCTGACCCAAAGGCGGCCCAAAGGGTAAAGGTAAATTTCTCTTAAAATTCCTAAACGAATTTTTCAATTTTTTGGAATTTGTAAAATTGCAGCTGCAACTCCTAGAAGCTATTTAATTTTTGAGACACCCACACTGGCGGCCTTAAAAATTAAATAACTGCTACGTTGCGGTCCCTAAACCAAACTATATAGGTAGTTATAGTTACCCAGCTAGCACGATACATAACGCGAGCTCGTGCGATGTTCTGTTTAGGTCGCATAAATACATCTTGTTGAAAACAGTGCTGCCGTTCTAGTACATTTGTACTATTTACAGTACATTTTTGCTTGAATTTTCATGAAAAGTACGAAAGTACATTTATCTAAAAATAACATGATTTACAGTACATTTTATAAAATTTTACTAAAATGGTAGGTATACATTACAGAACTCTCAAAATGAGGGTTTTCGAAAATTCACTGGTAGATTCATTTAATTCATTTTCGGGAGTGCACTGATAGATGGCGATACATAAGGTTTAAAATGAAATTTTAAATTTGACAGACTGTCTGAACTGTCAGAATTGTTTTAAGGTACCTATCTGTTATCTATTATCTGTTATTTGTATATGTAATTGTGTTCTGTGTATATGTATACGTTTTTCCTTAAGAAAAACCTATGGACAAGTACCTAAGTATTTTATACTTTTTAAATTAACAGGATATGTATAAGTATTTTAACAGTTTAAAACCAATGGTTTTGTCCTCAAGATTGAAAATCTTTTGGTTTATTTACAGGTATTAACCTAGGTATTTAATTTTAAAGTAAAATTGTTGATTTTTTTAATTTATATTTTATTATTTATTAATTTATAAAGAGTTAAGTAAAATAATTGTTTTTATCAACCCCCCCCATATTAATTACAATAATAATAATATGTTTGGTGCCAATGTTCTCAGCAGTCAAAGCACCTTAATTATTATTATTATTATTATTAATATAAAAAAATGATATACAAAAAAATATTAAAAATCAATTAATGGTAATAGCACAGCATTTTAGGATAAATTTGGTTATAGTACATTACAGTACATTTTCACTGACAAAAATAGTACATTAGATTAAAAGCTCGCGGCAGCACTGGTTGAAAAACATACCAGGTATATTGCCGATATATTATTTTTTAATATTGCACATCGATGTATTGTTACATACCTATAACATGACATAAGTACTTGCAACAAACATCTAATGTAAATGTACCAAGAATGAAACTAAAGGTAATTTTAAGTACATATTTTAAGTAGGTACATATTACTCAAGATACATACACCTTAAGATAGGATGGTGCGCATGTTGGGCGGGGCTTAATGACGTCACTTGATGAGTGTTTTTAAATCTTTAACGTGCTTTTTAATTATCTGCTGCTAAAATTCTTGTTTTTGCAATGCTTTTTGTTTAACTTGTTGTTTTTGTGTTCGGTAAGGTTCGAATTACTTTTCAGCGTTCAAATTATTGTTATTGCGTTAGGTTAACCTGTTAGCTAACAGGTTAACCTAACGCAATAACAATAATAAACAAACCTAGGTTTGTTTATTATTGTTTTTGTGTTGCGTTAACTTGTTTTGTTTGTGTTTTAGATTGTATAGTGCCATTTGCATTTATTAAAATGCGGTGTGGCATATTTGGATGCAATTCGGACAACCAGTCCAAGAAAAACCCTTTAAATAAAAACATTAAATTTAATCGATTCCCGAAAAAGTTTGATTTGTGGAAACAGTGTTTAAATGCCACAAAAATAATAGACAATATTTACGTTAAGACCGCTTCTGTTTCCTATAAACATTTTCTGGACAGTGACTAGGTATAAGTTTAATTTAAAACACCATCGCTTAAACTACAGCCCTAAATGTTATCAAGGAATGAAAGCATTTATTATCCATATTATAACACTTTCTTCAATATTAAGTTTAATAAAAACGCACTATGTCCAGAAATGTATCTATTTTTTTTTGATAATATTACTATATATTATTCGTGTATTCGCACGGAAACTACTCATCAAGTGACGTCATGCGCGGGACGAACCAAAACTCGTACACGGGAGCATCCAGCCCTGCATATTACTTGTCATATGATTAACGGTACCAACAATATAAAAATAAATAAATAAAATAAAAGGCTTAAATAGAGTAAAATTATAATTTAATTAAATATTATTAGTGAAAAAACTTTAAAACAATCGAAATTTCATTTATTAATATCTAGTATTATTGATGGTGATAATAAAAACTATCAATGTTATGTCAATTTTGCATTTATCAAGTTGGAAGCCATTCATGTTCTGTGCCATTCATTTTAGGTTATCTCATGTTTTACAAAAAATCCTTGCTATTTTCCACCAAAGAACACTTATTTTTCTATGCTAGCGTGGTTTGTTCTGTAAGTAGTTTACTGTGTCTATGCTGTGATCTTTTTTACTTTTTCTTTTGTTTTTGTATCGGTGATTTTGGGACATCCTGTATATATGAAATTAAGAAAAACTTAAATTTTTAGATATGTTTTGTTACATTATAAACAAATTTGTTTATAATGTAACAAAACTTATCTAAAAATTTAAGTTTTTCTACATTTTATAAAACAAATACTAAAAAAAGAAGTATAAAACATCAAATGATTTGCCGGATGCCTGTATCTTTTGCTATAACCTTTTTATATCAATAAGTTACATTCATGGAACATTACATCTAAACATAGCATGCATGTTTTAAAGTTACTTTAATTGATGTTTCAAACTAACGTTTTCAGTACGTAACAAAGTAACATCTCGATAACATTGTCCAGTGTAAACATGTTGCGGAAATTCGGAGGTTGCCTCAATAGACATGCGATATCAACAGTACATTGCACGGGAGGTTTAATGTACCCAGGGCCGAGCCGTGCCGGGGGTGCAACCCGGGCGGCACTAACACAGGGCGGCAAAATATCATCAAAAAAATTGTATCATATTATCAAGAATAAAAAAGCCACCTGGCAATATGCAAAAAACTTTCTAAAAATCACTTGCGTTTTATTGATGTCGGCGTTTCAAGGAATCATAGTTTTTATTCTACACATAAAAACAATGCCAAAATTGTGCTGTCAGGCGGCAATGATAAAAAAGACATAACCGAACGCGCGATAGCCACAAAAAATGATGATGACAATTTTCTTAAAGCCCGGTTTATAGATTGCCGCCCGCTTCGCTTTCCCTCCGTCCGCTTCAAGTTCGTCAAGTTTCATGTTTTACGGAAGCGGGCTTACGGGAACCAATCAAATCGCGCGCTGTCTACCACGTGATATTGTTTACAAGCTGAACTGTTACTTTATCTAATCTATGCTGTTAAGTTAAAGCATAATTTCTTCCGATTTGACGGCTGCGTATTTCAGAAATTTTTAGTTTTTCTATTAACGTGAGGCAAATACGATGCAAACATAGTAGTTTCTTTTGTCTTTTAATGCGTTTAAGTTAAAAACTAGTTTTTTTATTAACGTGAGGCAAATAGGATGCAAACATAGTAGTTTCTTTTGTCTTTTAATGCGTTTAAGTAAAAAACGAGTTAATGATTTAAAAGGCATCTTTCCGAATTTATTTGTAGCTTTAAGAATATTTTTGACGATGCCAGTTACTGTTGCCTATGGAGAGCGGTCATTTTCGAAATTAAAACTAATTAAGACCTATTTAAGATCCAATATGTGTCAATTCAGGCTTTCAAATTTAGCAATTATAAGTATTAAAGAAGATATTTCTAACAACTTGGATGTAGGCGACTTGATTAGGGAATTTGCTATTAAAAAAGCGAGAAAAGTAGATTTTAGTTTTTTAGTTTAGTTTAATTATACCTATTTGTTTTTTTTTCCTGAATGTATTTTTATTTTATTCTTTTATGTATTTGTTAATAAATACTTTGTTATTTTACTATAAAATTTGTTATATGTTTATTGAGAATGATAAATTATGAACTCCTTCCTTACCGACAACCTAATTTTTTACATTAATGGGGGCGGCAAATTTAATTCTTGCACCCGGGCGGCAGATACCCTAGGCTCGGCCCTGAATGTACCCAATTTTACATCGCTGTACATTGTTGGGATGTTTCTGTGCTAGCTGGGTATATGAAGTCACAGCTTGTTAATTTGTAAAATATTAATTAGGTAATGTTATTTAATAGGTTTCAAATTACTTTATACCTAACAATTATTGTGAGTGTTGAAAACTTTCACTTTTATTTTATTGAAAGTAGGTATCATAGTACCTATAGGTATACCTATATAGGCTATACATCTATATAGATATATAGTTGGTAATATTTTAAAATAATCGTAATTTATAACAAAAATATAAATAACAGCTCATTAATTTTAATAAACCTACCTATATTTATAAATAAACAAATGTAAAGTGTACATAGGCGTCAATCGTTGATATCGCTAATATCTTAAATATCCTATTTGAGTAACTAAAATTGTGGGAAGGAAAGGACAAGAATAAAATAAACAACTTAATTACTTAAACAGTTGATTAACAGCATATTAACAAAATTGACATGTAAAATCATTCAGAGTTTATTTTTTTAAGTTTATTGTTTTCATACCCTTTTCAACGAAACGCCTATGACTTTTGATCACGTGTCTTGGACTGTCTAACTTCGGCCAATCAGAATTCGCCAAATATAGTTTGTGTTGATAACTAGAGGCTGCCCGAGTAATAAGCGAGAAAATATGTCATACAAATAGAAATATCAAAATTAAAAGACTTTGTGCCAGTGTATATATTAGTATTATTAGATATTTATTGTTTTTCCAAAAGTGATACACCATCAAAATCATGGAAACTTTACCAATTACTCTGATAGTGAAAGCTCCAAATCAACAAATTGAAGATCAAACAATAAAGTGCGAGCTTACGTGGACAATAAACAAATTAAAACAACACTTATCGGAAGTTTACCCCAGTAAACCTGTAAGTAAACCAAAATAGTAAGGTTTTATTAAAATAAAACTCAATTATTATTTCTCAGTGACGTTTAATTAACCTATAATTTAGCTGATAAATCTAGTAATTCTTTATCAAACATTGGACTCATAAAATAGCCTTGATATCTAATACAAAAACAAACAAGTACAGTTTTGTCAAGCTTAAACTGTTTAAGTTTAACAACAAAGAATTTTTTTCAACATTACCTAAAAGATATAAGCATTTAAAAAATGTAAACTTAAGAATCTTCACTTTAGCTGAAGATATACAGGGTGTCCGGGAAAAGGAGGTCAATCCGTTAACCATATATTCCTTGAGTTAAAACAATAAGACTTCCATAATACCATTTTTCAATTTAGAGCTTCATGTTCGATATACAGGGCGACAAAGTTTGAAATTAAAAACTGATTTTTTTTTAATAATTCGAGTAATTGATAAGATACTAAGTTTAAATTCGGTATACTACTTCAACATAAATAGTTACATTTTTTGAGACCAACAAAACAAAAAACAGTTGTCAAATAATCAAAATAGGGGGGTCCAGTACTCACTGACTCCCCCTATTTTTTAGTACGTGCGCCAATGACTTCCAAACAGAATTTTTTCAGGTAATCATTTATTGTTGAAAATGTTTTGTCTCTTATAAAATTTTGATAAAATGATTTGTTTTAGAGATAATTTGTAAAGTATGGGTCAGTCCATATCAAATTTTCAAAATTTAATTTTTTTTTGAAAAAATGTAGGTCATGTGATATATCATAAAAAAGTTCTCTAATAGGCCTTTAAAATAAGCCATCACTCACCTTTCTACTTTTAATAGTTTACGAGATATCGCTATTTTTGTAAGTACTTGCAAGACCCAAATTTATCGGAATTTTTTGATTTTCAAAAATCAATAAAACAAAAACCACCTATCGAAAAAAATTCATATTTGGGATTTTTGAGTTTTTTAGTTAGGTAAACAAATTTACCAAAAATGATCAAAATCGGAGATGGTGGGGGAAGAACCTTTGGTTGATTTGATATGGACTGACCCATACTTTACAAATTATCTCTAAAACAAATCATTTTTTCAAAATTTTTTAAGAGACAAATTTTTTTTAACAATAAATGATTACCTGAAAAAATACCGTTTGGAAGTCATTGGCGCACGTACTAAAAAATAGGGGGAATCAGTGAGTACTGGATCGACCCCCCTATTTTGATTATTTAACAATTGTTTTTTGTTTAGTTGGTCTCAAAAAATGTAACTATTTATGTTGAAGTAGTTACCGAATTTAAACTTAATATCTTATCAATTACTCGAATTATTAAAAAAAATCAGTTTTAAATTTCAAACTTTGTCGCCCTGTATATCGAACATGAAGCTCTAAATTGAAAAATGGTATTATGGAAGTCTTATTGTTTTAACTCAAGGAATATATGGTTAACGAATTGACCTCCTTTTCCCGGACACCCTGTATATAGCAGTCCTAAAAATACTAACCCTAGATAAATTTATAGATATGACAGTCTTAAGAATATGAACTTTAGATAACTGTTTTAACTTATATAGAACAGAAAATATTATTTCTGAAATAAAAAAATTATCATTTATTTTTAGCCAAAACATGAACAGAAACTTATTTACTCTGGCCAATTGCTAACTGATTCCCTAATACTTAAAGACATTCTGAGACAATATGAAGGCCAAGAAACCCATACAGTACATTTAGTTTGCACCCCAAAACCATACACAAAACAGTCCACCTACAGAGCCGAGGTGCCAGGTAGCAGTCAACAAAATTCAGCACAAACCGAAAATATATCAGCTGCGGTGCAGCCCCCTACGTCAAATGAAATGCCAAGTGAAAATTTACCAGGAACGGAGCACCCAGTGCCCAACCCAGTGAATCCCCTTCTGCCCTCAGGTGTTATGGACATTAATCAATATGCCACTCAAGTAGCAATGATGCAACAGGCCTACTTGCAGTACATCACACAATATATGCAATTGTAAGTATTTTAAAATTATAGTTTTATAATTTTTCACATAATAGCCTAGTTTAAAAGAATTAATTTGACCTTTGGCTCACATTCAATGAATAATTTAATTTTTAATAGTTACTGTGAGCCTGGTACCCATTTAAAGGTCTATAAATAAACTCATGTAAATATATGAGTTTTGTACCTTTACCCAAACAAAACATAACATTTTTATGCATGTTTCAAGGTCAATAACATTATTTGTAAACCTACTACAAAACTATTATCTTAATGATTTGATAAAATTTTATCATTTGTTATGTTTCTAGAATATTGGCCAAAATAAACAATCTGAGTAATTTTTGTTTTTATAAACAAGTCAAATGTCAATTATTTGTAGAATTTTAGTCTAAAACTTTTAGATAAATGTTCTTAAAAATGTATTGATATGAATATTGGGACTGTTAATATTTTTTAGATTTTAGAAATACTCTTTTAGAGTTCTTCAATACTTTTTGCTTTGCATAATTTCTTTCTTTCCATATTTAAAGTGTATTTTCAGTACAATTTATTAATATTAATATAATCTAATAATTGAACCTCACGCAATACAATTTATTTATTTATTCAGTTTAGTGCAGTAATACATGATATGACTACACAAGGTTTCAGCCTAAGGCTATGGAACCATAAGTAAGAAGATCTTTACTTTTACAGGTTGGGAACTTTGTCTAAAAGAATCTTTAATTTTTTTAGGTGTGGTCTGTTTTTCAGTAGGTCCATGATGTTGCTTCCAGTGTCTTTTTCGGTTTGTTGTCTTGTTTGTTGTGTCTTTTTGCAGTGGAACATGTTTCACCGTCTCGGGTAGCTCGCAGGTTGTACAGTCTGGGTTGTTTGAATAAGTATTTTTTTTTCGTTTAGGAGGCCTTGTTCAGTTCCGTATCGAATTATTTTTTTTGTAGCTTGTCTTTTAAGGTTTGTTTTGTAGAACCATGGTATTAGCTGAATACTTGATTGGATTTTTCGTACCATTTTCCTTTTGTTCTTATTTCATTGTTGTACTCATGGTTCCACTTTTTCATTGGGTTGTCTCTAATAATTTGCTTTAATTCTCTATGAGGTATTTTTACGTGAGTTATTGAATGTGATACTTCTTTGGCGGCCGCATCTGCCATTTCGTTGCCTGGGATGTTTATGCCCCTGTTGTCAGTGATTTTTGTGTATATCTCTTCAGCGAGTTTGTTTGTTTTCTAGTGTGTCCATTTTTTAAAGCGTTTGTAGGGCTGCTTTAGGGTCTGTTAAGATAACGCAATACAATTAAAAAACTGGAAAAGTATTGGGAGCTTTATTCTGAAATTGGAGAATTAAGTACCTAAAGTAGGGTTAAAGTGGACAACTGTTTACAATTTCAAAACGGCTTTGACATCTTTAAATAAAATTAATGGATTCAGCAAAGCTAAGTGAATTTGTTTTTTTTTTAATAAAGTTTAACTTTCTGAAATGTCATGTTTTTTACTATGAAACAGCATAAAGCCTCTGTTATTTCCAAACAAACTGAGTTTTGTTCCTTTTCAGACAATCAAAGAGCATTTAGGATCCATCTTTTTTCAGACTTCTGAAACTCTTAAGGGATAAATATTTTTTGAGGTTAAGTAATTACATGAGGACTTATTTTTCCAAATTTACTGGCATCTTGAATTCTGCTTCAAATATATCAGTTACACACCAGACTATTGTGTTTCCTGAAAATTATGCAATTTGGACAAAACGCATTTTGGAAGTCTTATTGTAAAAAAAATATATAATAAACATAAATAATTATAATATTATTTGGGTTCCCAAGTGAAACAAGTGTTTTTGTATTTTTTAAACTACATATCTGTCATTGACTTCTAAAAAAACCAAGTACTTTTTGCTACTTTACCAATTATGGCGATGAAAAATATGGTCTGATTGTAGACAAACACAAACCTGGATTTGGTAACACCACTATGGATATTTTTAATTTTTCAGACCAAGTATTCTTAAGTAAACATAATCCAATAAAAACAAGGCTCAAAATCTATGTTAAAAGCCCCATTTTTTACTATTATCAAATTAAAATAGTGATAAAGCATTATCTTGTCTTTGAGAATATCGATTTTGAGCATTTCTTTAATATTTCTCTTCACATGATAAAAGATTACTGTTAATTTTGTTGTATTATTTAATGTTTAAAACGCCTAAAACAGTAATAAAAATGCCAGCTATGAGGGTTATTTCCCCACTGTGCGACGTATTTATTGGAGACTCAGGAAATTAGTTAATAATAATAATTTTATTTCCGTAATATTTAATTTTTATATTTATATTACGAAGTTTATAAAAAAATTGTAGATAATTTATTATAAAATATTTTGGCATTAAAATTGTCTAAAATATTCTTCTTTTATTAGCTTATACCTACATTAAATTTAAAAAAAGGCAAGAAATATTTTATAAAAGTAGAGATAATTTTAATAATTGAAAGGTGTGAACAGGAAAAAAAAAGATTTATCTTGTCCCGTCCACACCTAGGTGTCAATTATTTAAATTATCTCTACTTTTTCTTGCGGTTTTTTTATTTAATGTATAGCCTAATAAAAGAAGAATATATTTGATAATTTTGATGCAAAAATAATATATAATAAATTACCTACAATTTTTTTATAAAAACAGTTTTGTGATTTGTCCCGTCCGTATGCTTGAAATGGCCGTCAAGCAGTGGCGGCTTGTGGATTTTGGGTATAGCGATATCTCAATTATTAGATATGGGACCCACACCAAATTTATATGAGTTTATAATGACATTAAATAAACAAGTTCTTTTTGCTCGGCCGTACCGGCCCCATGGCGCCCCCAATAAATATAATATAAATTTAATTGGTGCAATTTATTATTTACCATAGTTTATCGACAAATTTCAAATTTTATTTAAAAAATCCAAATTATAAAGATTTTATACCATTTTTAATTTTTAATATCTCTTTTCAAATTTTTAATATCTCTTTTCAAACCAGCCGCCAAGTATGTACATATTACATATGTAATTTTCATATTTTACCAAGAGGTCCTAGTTTTATTTTGAATAACGTTATTTTCTAATACATATTTTTTTCTTTAATTTATTCTACATTTTATTGTAAAAAAATTGGTTATCTACATTGTTGAGCAAAAAAAAGTCAATTTTACGTGATACCAATAAATATACATATGTACTTATAAAGATTATATATTTATAATAAAACTTTATATTAGGATTATATTTATAAAGAAAGAAAAACACTTTTGTATTTTGTTTCGAATCGAGGCCGCTGAGTTTTTCAAAACAAACAAAAACCAAAAATTAAAATTTGATGATAAAAAATTATCAATTTGTTTTGTTTAAATTAAAACTTTGTGTTGTTCTTTTTGTGGTTTAAGTGTTTTGTTTACTTTTTTTATTCCGGTTAATTTATTAATTTTGGACAAAAAAGCATAAAATGAAAAATAAAAAAATAAATATCAAGATGTTGATACATATCTGATATAATATATATTATATCCAAAAATTTTTTATTTATATAAATATCATGATATTTTTAAACCCTGAGTCAAATCCCAAATTTGTTTTTTTTTAGGGCTGCACATTCATATTCGGCTGGTGCCCAGATACCCACGAATCCAATCCCGGGCCAAGTTCCGCCACAGCAACCAGCGCCGCCCCAACAGCCGCCCCCGCCCCAAAGAGAACCGGAAATCCAAGAAAGAGACTGGTTGGACGTATTCTACATGATCAGCAGAGCAATGGTGCTTTTCAGCGTCGTCTACTTCTACTCCAGCCCCATCAGATTCGTTTTCGTTTTACTGCTAGGCATTGGTTTATATTTGTACCAAATTGGGTTCTTCAGAAACATCAATAATAACAATAACAACAACAATAACGTTCCCACGGATCCGGCCAATCAGGAGGAGCAAGCGCCCTCTAGATTGATGGTGATGTGGACATTTTTCGCCACCTTTTTTGCTTCACTCATACCGGAAATACCGAACGCTGTTTAAAAGACTTACGTGTAATAATAAAATTATCAGTAGATTTTATTTTATTCTTAGTGTGTTGTATGGACATTTCTACGTATTAATTTGTTTGTTTGGTGTTTTGTTTTAACCATGATATTCAGTTAAATACCATTTTAAATTTGTACCTGAATTTTTCAAAAATTCCCCCTAATACCATTTTTGATCTGTAAATTGTTTAATAGTAAATGTTCTAATTTACAATAATGTTATTTCTTGTATCTATAGCTTTGTAAATATTTTATTATTAGCTTTAGAAATGTGATTTAAATAATAAGTATATTAATTATTATATAAAAATAAAGCTTTTTATTTCTGTTGTAATATAACCTTTATTTTTTAAACCTAGCGAAACAAAGTTAAAAAAATCTTACAGCTAATCATCTACATCCATTTTTTCTGCCTCACTGTAACTTTCAATAAGATTTTTCTTGGTTGATGTACCTTCAGTATTTTTGTCTTTTTTATAATCCGTTTCTTCATTTGTGGAATCTGGCTCACTATCACTTTCAATAAAAATTTTCTTTTTGGTGGATTCAGTACTTGTGTCTTCCTTATTTGAATCTAAATTTTTGTCCTCAATTTCTTCATTTGTAGATTCTGGCTCGCTATCACTTTCAATAATATTTTTCTTCTTGGGTTCAGTATTTTTGTCTTCCTCATTATCTGAATTTTTGGCCTCCATTTCTTCATTTGTGGATTCTGGCTCACTATCACTTTCAATAATATTTTTCTTCTTGGTGGGTGGTGAACTCACTTCAGTATTTTTGTCTTCCTTATCTGAATCTTTATTTTTGTCTCCCTTTTCTTCATTTGCAGATTCTGGCTCACTATCGCTTTCAATAAGATTTTTCTTCTTTTTGGTGGATAAACTTTCATTATTATCTTCATGGGTGGGTTCTTCATTATCACTATCTATCATATTTTTCTTTGATCTTGTTGGTGATTTATTTTTATTATCCTTATTTACCACATCCAATAAATTTTCAATGTTATCTTCATTTTCACTATCACTATTCTTACCAGATTTATTTTCTGTATCTGATATGTCATCATCTGATGTTTTCTTATTACTTTTATCTTTTGAAGGTGGCAACAGATTTGATTCGTCCAAATTACTTGAAGCTTTTTCTCTAATTTTCTTTAATTTATCAAGCCTATCACTTTTTCCCAGATCCCCTTGACTACTTTGACCAGGTGTTTCAATGCTACTAACAGTTTGTTGTTTTTTCTTCAATATTTCTTGCCTCAATCGTTCAGCCCTTTCTTTATTTTGCCTCATTCTTTCAAGTTGTTCTTCATTTATTTGAGTCTCTGGTGGATTAACAGGTCTCACTAAATCATCAAATGGAGTATTTTGAGTAGTATCTTCAAGAGGCGCCGCCATTTCGTCATCACTGTCTAATGGTTTATCCTCTTCTTCATCAAAATTTATGTCCATACGAATTCTTTTTAAATGTGTCTACAAATAATACTTTTAATAAAAGTAAACTATATAAACATGTAAAACTTACTTGAACATTTTTCTTTGCGCCTAATTTCTCCAGTTTTTCAATGCAATCTTCAAAAGGAAACTTGGGAAACAACCGATGACACCAGTACTCGTAAGTTTTTAACAACACATTCAAATCCTGTTCTTCATAACCCCTTCCTTTGAACTTTACTCTCTCAAAGTATTTAGCCAACGCTGCAATACCTTTGGGTCCTTTCAACGTTTGATCATTTAACTTGGGTTGTGGATTTCTTACAACCCTCTTCACTTTAACCTCTTTCTTTTCATCTTCCTTGTTTTCAGATTCTTCTTTGTCTTCTTCTGCTTCATCAGCAGCTTCTCCATTGTTTTCTGGATCTTCATAGCCTTCTTGAATTATTTCCAGATCGTTTGCATCTTCAATTGGATTATCTTCCTCGCCAGAAGACATTTTAACAGGATTTTGTCAACAATTTCCCGCGCGTTTGTAATAAAGGTTATGTTACAACAAAATGATTTTATGATATATAGGAAATAATGTATTTTACTTAGTTCCACTCTTTGGTCTCATCATTACTCCCAGCGTTTGTTTCTTGCTCGGAAAGTCTATTTAGGAAGGCCTCCAACAATCGCTTATTCAATGAATCTGTTTGTGTTAATTCTCTTTGGGGTTGCTGAGGCTCTTGGGGAACCTGGTTTTCGCTGGTGTCGGTCTCTGGTTGTTTTACAGGCATTTTCACTGTAGTTTTTATAAAAATTGTTAAAAGTAATTGGGGCGTATTTTTAGGTTAGGTATGAAACGTCATTTATGACGGTTTTATGGAAATTTGGCAACTATGTTTGTTGGGGAATTTTCCAGCTTAATTTGTGTTTCACACACTTTCACACAACCTTTATAATCTGTGTTCACACATAAGCATTTTTTTCACAAGAAAGCTTTTGTAATTCACATGACCAAATAATATTATATTATTTAACGCATTTCATTCCATAACTTTAACCGGTGGGCGAAATTTTACCTTGCCCACTAGTGGGCGAAATAGTTGACTTTAAATTAAAATTGCTTGACAGCTGTCAGATAAAATATCAAACAAACCACAAGGAATTTAAAGCCAATTTTTTTTGATATTTTATCTGACATCTGTCAAAGCATTTTTAACCTCACTTTTAACTTGGAACTAACTTCAGCCCGTAGTCGAAATGCTATTTTGCCCACTAGTGGGAGAAGTTAAATTTCGCCCAACAGTTAGTTAAGAAATGGGTGTTGAATAAAAAATATAATTATTTTTACAGTATATTTGTTCATTAATTGAAATAAATAACGCCTGTTGAATGCAAACCAATATTATTATACCTATATTAATTTAGAAAATCTATTGCTAAATATATAATATTTTAACCATAAAAAATAACTAGATAAGCTTTTGCATAATAGCTGCGTTTAAAAGGCCAGCTTCTTTGAGTGTCTGGGAGTCTTCAAGTACTTTTGATGGGTACGAGGACATGAGATTGAATGGCTGAGTTTGATATTGAGGCCTTGCTATGGTTATGTAGTTCCTTACAGCTCCTACAGTGTGTTCATGGTTAAACTGCCCCACTAATCTGGTACCATCCGCCAATCTTATCTGCAAACTAAAAAAATGTGTTAGAATGATATTTAGTTTAGGTGTTTGTTTTAATTACTTTGTAGTTGGTTCCGATGTGTTAACATTGGTGGTTTCTTTAGCCTTAGCTTCATTAGCTGGTTTATCTTCATTATTGGGAGCACCAATTACTTTGGGAGTGGGACTTCCCAAAGTGTAACCTTGACCTTGGAAAACCTTTCCTCCCTTTCTGGATGTTATCTTTCTGAATTCTTCCATTCTGTGATCCTCCATTGCCAAATGGATCTAAAATAGTTTAATCCATATTGGAAATCTCCATTAATGTCATAAGTTATCATTACCTCACTGCCACCCTGCCTTAATTCATGTGGTATTTCCCCCCTCCTAATGCTCTCCAGAAAGTCCCTATTATCAGGATCATTGTAAGTGCGCAAATCTTCATCATTTATGCTAAATCCATTTTGCCACAATCTAAGCGTTACTTGCCTGGGTGGCACTGGATCTGCAGCACCTGGTATCACAACAGTATCATTTGTGTCTTGGCCCAGTTTGTAGCCAGTCCCCTTGAAAACCCTGGAGCCAGAGCTGCTTGCAGCCGGGTCCAAAATTTCCACACCATGTTCCTGGACTGATCTGAACATGTCTGATACAATATTGCGGTTTTTTGGGGGTCCAAGCACTTGTTGGCCACTATGCTCAGATCCACCTGCATAGTAGGCTTGTCCTTCCTCTTCTTCATCGCTTGACGTTGTTAAAGTATTTAGAGTATGAAAGTTGGAACTCTTAGCTCTGGGTGCTGGCTTTTTGGCAATTATTGTAGGTTCTGGTACATCTTCAACCAAAGACACATCAGCATCATCCCCACCCTCATTTTCATAGTATCTTGCTATAGCAACCTGAAAATAAAGTTACATAGGGTTAGATGTGTTTAAGTTTATATACGCCACTATTTTAAGTTCAACACACATAACACTTTTTTATTTTAGTGTTCCTATAAGACTGGATTCTCGTTTAACGATTAACGGTTTCTAACCTCAACTTGCCAAGCCGACGAGTCCAGGAAAAATCTGGCCCTTTCATCGTTAGCACCAGTTACACCTTTAAACTGTTCCACTTTTTCTTCTTGGTCTGACATTTTCGTACAAAAGGCAATCAAAAATTGTACTCAACTATGACTAGTAAGTCTCGGCGACAATTTTGACAGTCAAATGTTTTTGACAGACTTCTCAAAACAAACAATGTTGCCAAGGTTGTTTTATTTTCCAGAAATTTTCAGGTAGGTGCGATAAAAAATTAAGAAGAAGAAGATTAACCCAAGAAAATGTAAAATTAACCTAACATTTTCAAATTTCTAAATATTTTGATCAAAAAATGGCCATGTACACTAAAAGTTCATCCCTTCTAAGTATTCTTCTAAGCACCAAATTATCCTACAACAATACAAGGTAATACAATGTAAATCCTTTTATGTTTTAAATAAATTAGGTTTTTCAGGTTAACCTACTCAAATTACAAGAAATACAAGCAAAGTATATGCTTCATAAATGATTTTTATAAAAATTCTTTACACACAAGTACCTCTTTACAGAAAAGAAGAAAAACTGCTGAAGAACGAGTAGGTATTACATGCTACATTATACATTTGATGGTTTAAAGTTTTACAACAATTTTAAAACAGGACTCAAGTGTTTTTTCTTGATGGGGTTTTAGAAATCGACAAGAATTTTGGAATTCTCCCCAAAAGCAAAGGGAGAACTTATTGGAGTTTGGAAAGACATTACGATAAGGGAGTTAGCTACAACTTTAAATAGAGATATAAACTATGTAAAGGATCTCTTTCTAAATGTAATTAAGGACCCAGATATGCCTATAAGTGATATAAAAGTAATACAACAAGCTATTAAAAGAAGTGGGAATAGAATTAACATTATAGGTATTACATTAAATGTAAAATTAGATACAAATAAACATTCTATAGAATTAATATTAAATTTAGTTTTTTAAACTAAGCTACTAGCCATTTTTTATTTTTATATTTTTAAGTATCATCTCATGTTTTGTTTATTAAAGTTCAAAAATTTATCCTAAATTTAAAACTATTTTTATTCAATTAGGAAAGCCTAAGGATGAGGTTAAAGAAATCCTAAAAAGTGACATTCACCCTAGGCCTCCCCCCACTAAAGACATGCTGAAACCACGCCCCCCTGTTGTTACTGTAATGGGGCACGTTGATCATGGCAAAACAACCCTATTGGATGCTTTGAGGCATTCCAGTGTGGTCGATCAAGAATTTGGGGGAATTACACAACATATAGGCGCCTTTTCGGTGGTGCTCGACTCGGGTGCCAAAATTACATTTTTAGACACGCCAGGGCATGCGGCGTTCAGCGCCATGAGGGCCAGGGGGGCCAATTTAACTGATATTGTTGTTTTGGTAGTTGCTGCTGATGATGGAGTTATGGAACAAACTGTTGAGTCTGTGAGGATGGCAAGACAAGCCAAAGGTAAAGAACATAGTTTAAGAAATTTGTTTTTTTGACAAATAGGTTTTTATATGATAATTTTAAGGATATTTAAAGTTAGCAGAAAAATGCAATGTTACTTTAGAATAACCCATTTGCATAAAACGGCATATACAGGGAGATTTTAATCAAAATAATTTAATAGGTACCCAATATAACTTGCAAAAATAAGAAAAAAGTTTATATGAACTTGTATGCTTTAAAGCTTTGTTTTTTACATACAATGTGTTAAAATGTGGTTACACCATTGCTTTTTTATGAGTTTAATATATATAATTAAATTAATCAATCAAAAATACAAATTTTTATCTGTTGCATTTTTTCTTGCTTAATTTACAAAAGGCGAGCTAACAGTTGAACGAATTTAATTTTTTCTCAAAAATTAAACAAGATAGAGAAAAAGTGCAAGAGACAAAATGTTGTGTTTTTAATTACTTCATCTAAAATATATTATTTATCAAGTTTGATAAATTTAGTCAAATACTTAATATGTATTATCTAAAAAATTATTTAAAGTAAATATTTGTATAAAGCGACATCTATACGAAAATAAAGTAACCATCCCAATAAACGTATTTGACGTAATTGCCCTTTATTATTTTAATTAACCTTAACAATTATTGAAATTTAAAAATATTAAAATAACTTTGAAATATGACTGTCAAGAAAATATGTTATCCTTTGATTTTTTTACTACTATAATTTCAAAATATTAGGTGTTTTCGCGGTGCTAATCCCGAACTAGTGAACTAGTTCGGACATCTTGCGCACTTTACATTTTGAACGCCAAATTTTAAAAAGCGGATGTCCGGAATTAGTTCGGGATTATTATCACAACGTGTTAAAAATTCTTTCACGGGAAATGTAAAAGGTACAAAAAGTGACAGTTGTAATTATAATATAATATAATTATAATATATTGGAATTCTATAGAATTTCTAACTTGGGAATCTACCGGCGTTAAAATCTCAAATTTTTCTATGTAAATCAAAATAGACATAGAAGCAGTTTTTCACAGTAAAAGGGAAGAGAATGTTTTATGGGCACTGTAAGCACAAATTTTACCGCTTTAGCAGTTAAATCTAGATAACTGCACTACTATGGCAAAATCAAAAGGTCAGTACAAACATTCATATAATCTTTTTAAATATTGGCGTCAAGAAACTATTTAATACTTTTGTATTCAGATAATAAAATAATTTTCACATTTAGTATTATTTTACAAGAAAGGCACTTAATTTTAACGATTGTATGACATTTGACAACTGTCAACTAACTTAAAACTAACTTCAGCCCGTGACTAAAAACCTAGTGCAAACTTTGGCCCGTGACTAAAGCGCCATAAAGCCAAAACTTGTCAATGTTCATTTAAAACGTCACTATAGTGCAGAGCTGTGCGGTACTCGAGTACAAGTACTCAAACACTGTACTCCAAGTACTTTCAGTGTACTCGGTACTCAGTCCCGAGTACTTTAATTTGAATGTACTTATACTTGTACTTGATACATTTAAGATTGCAAAAATGTACTCGAGTACTTTCCCGTGTACTCGAGTACCGCCAGCTTGCCTCACACGAAAGCCTTAAGACAGCCTCAATCAATAAATAAAAAGACACAGGAAAGAGCATTGAACAAAAGGTTTTTACTTATGTATGAAATGTAATTTTGTTTATATTTTGGTAGAAATAAGGTGACAATATTCCTCAAAAAGATAAATAAAAAATAAAGCTAAGGCAAAGTAAAACAAGATACTAGTCGGCCTTGATAATTAACATAAAGCGAAATATCAATATTTGATGAAGGCAATTCTTAATGATTTCTTAATCGCCCCATTTCTCTAGCATGTTTCCCAACATTTCATAACTCGTAATGTACTCGGTACTTTGTACTCGTATGGGTACTCGAGTACAACGGTACTGTACTTGTACTTGGTACTCGAGTACTTTTATATAAGAGTACTTGTATTCAGTACTTGAGTACTTTTTCATTGTACTCGGAACAGCTCTGCTATAGTGTCATGAAAACATGAACGATAATGAAAGTTTTAAAGGTGGGAGTAGAAAAATAATATTAAACTTATATAAAAGCAGTAGCATACCCAAATGTGGGATGCCCCAGCGCCGCCTCTGGATTAACTAAATTAAATTGCATTAAATTAAGCCCTTTATCAATTACTAAAACCTAAAAAGTTTTATTAAATTCGGTCAAGGAGTTTTTAAAATTTTTGAAAATATAAATATTTTTTTCATTAACTTTTCTACTGTGTCTATCTTGAAAGCTTTAAAACATACAAGTTCATACAAACTTTTCTTCTTATTTTTGCGATTTCTATCAACTACTAAATTTTCCCGAATAAAATCTGAGACACCCTGTATATTTTACATATTATTTTCTCTTTTTTAGTTCCTATTCTTGTTGCCATAAACAAAATTGATTCCCCAAAGGCAGACATCGAAAGAACAGAACAAATGCTTGTTGAAATTGGAATACAAGTAGAAAAGTTAGGGGGGGACGTTCAGGCAATTCCAGTTTCTGCTTTAAAAAAGAAAAATTTAGCACAACTTACAGAAGCTCTGGTTTTGCAAGCAGATCTTTTGGAAATAGGGGCTGACTCCACAGGTCCTGTGGAGGCTGTAGTAGTAGAAAGTAAGATGCACCCACATAGAGGAAAATTAAGTACCATGGTTATACAGAGAGGGACACTCATGAAGGGGGATATTTTGATTGCTGGACAATGTAAGACCAACATTAAATTTTTATGCTATTGAGGCAAATAAAAATTGATTTTCAGGTATGGCAAAAGTGCGTACACTTCGTGATGCCGACGGGAAAATTGTTGAAAAAGTCGGACCAGGCGAACCTATAGAAATAGAGGGTTGGAAATCACTGCCATCTGCTGGAGAGCAGGTCCTTCAGGTTGAAAGTGAACGTAAAGCCAGAGAAGTAATTAAAGTAAGAGAAACTCTTAAGAATATGGAAAAACAGGAAGATGAAGTTAAAATTATTGAACAAAAAAGAGACCAGCATGAAAGGGAATACCAGGAGAAATTGGAGACAAAGAGGAAAATGGGCAGGTACAAGATCAGGAGAGAGGGGCCTAGGTTACCAGAATTCAGAGATGGTATGTAAATAAACTAGAGATGGGAAAATTCCCATTTTACCAAAATTCCCGGAAACTTTCGAAAGTTTCAAAAACAAAAAATGTATTGCATAAATGAGTTTTCTGCGCCAGGAGAATTGCAAAAATATATAACAAATTACCTTTTTGTCAAACTTTTTAACGAAAAAAAAAAAGCATGGGATGATGACACTTAAAAAATACACTATTAACTGCCACAAATCCACACTTGGGATATTCCCAAATCTCTAGATAATTCTCGTGTGCTTGCATGAGGATTAGCTGTTGCTGCTAATACACTAATTTCATTATTTCCACCTGTGACTGTTGCTCGACGAACTCTTTTTTTCGTTTGTAGTAAACTGCTTGACTGTACGGTGAAATGAAGTACATGATCGAATTTTATCCGGAAAACGCTGAGCATACATATTAACAGCATTATCAAGATTCCTGCCTGCTTCTCTACCTTGAACTGCTTAACAAAAGGAGGTCCTTTGGTTTGCAAATTAATCTTTGAACAAAATTGATTAAATAATGCTAAACTATAAATAGTTTCTTTATACCTCAATAATAATTATTATTTATAACTAAATACCATTTTTTTATACCTCAATTAGGATTAAATTAATTAATTAACAAAATATTGTTTTTTAACTCTAAGTATTTTTATTGAGTATGAGTATGAGTATAAGAGACGTATAACCAGCCCCATTTCCTCTTGAATCTCGAACCCCGTACAGGCCTATGTTTACTTACGCCGATTTTTGTTCTTCCCCAGCAACTGCACGGCTTCACCCGTGTTTGCTGGGTGCGAATGTCCAATGGACATTGTCCATTGCGTTTCCTACTGTTTGGGGCTCGAGAGCGAGAGGCGAATAGTTTTAATAGCCGTACCCGGGTTCGCCGAGCCTATGCTATACGCTCAGTGGGGTATGGAGGAGGGACGGGAAGGTGTTGGTTTTTGGGGGACAATTACGCCGACTTAAAACTAAGTACGACGCCGAATCCCCCTAGACCAGTCGATTAGTATTACTCCAAACATTTGGGATTACTATTTGGAGTTGGGGAGTTGTTATTTCGCTGCAGGGGTGTAGTTTCCTAGTCGAGGTCTTTGTCTTGTTCGTTATTGTCATTGTCCGTGTCCTGGTCAGATAGTTCCTGCACTTGGTAAAGTGTGTCAGTTGTTTTTAATAAATTTTGTCCCAAGCACGTTTTGTGATAGAGTTTTGTCTTTTATTTATTAATTTCCAAAATTAAGCATTGCATTTATTTATTAGTTAAACAAATTACAAGCGCGATTATTCTGTTGTCTAATGTTTACAAATCTCGAGTTTGGCTATTAGGCTTTTTTTTAATGTTAGAATTATGATTAATGTGTTAGTTTATTCAGTGAGTCTAGTGTTTATTTTCGGTCTCGATTGGGATTGCCTTACGCATTTGTTGTTGACAGATTTATTGCCCCATTCCGTGTGCCTTTCGTAGGTTTTAAAGATATCCCAATAAACACTTTAACGGTACCTATCACCACCAACATTGCCCGTGTAAGAATTTTTAATACTTTTTAATACAATTTTGCAATGATAGTAATTAAAAACAAAACAGTTGTTTAAAGAGTAAAATATGTTCTTAACATAATCATATTTTAAAGTTATTTTAACATTTTCAAGTAAATAAATGTTATGTTTAATAAAATGAATAACGGGCAATGTTAATGGTGACAAATAACGGAAAATGCTTGCTGGGATCTGCCGTATTTAAATTGCAGATTTGTATCAGGACATGCAAATTCTTAAAGTAACTTATCAGCTTTTTTTGCGGATGGCCACCTCCCCTCTTGTTTGACCCCCCCTGTCTGTCCAGTGAAAAGCCTCCAATGACAGGTGGCACTTAACTCATTCATATCACTCAACACTTCACTCCTCAATGACCGTTACACCATTTTAGTTTGCACTCTATGAAAATGTTTGTTTCACTTATTAGTTTGCACTTTTTATTAATTATTGTTGGTTTTATCTTTAAACTCTTACGTTGCAAGAGCTTTCCCGCACGCGACGTGTCTTCTGAAGCGCTGGAACCGAACTAAATGAAGTATTTTTATTAAAGGATTTAATGCTGGCAGGTAAAAAGTGACTATGGTGCGCAATTGATAATTTTCACCGAATGAAATAATGTATAAAACTGAAACCAAAGGAAACTTAAATATTAATTAAAAAGTCTTGGGTACTTAAAAAAATCAGATTTAATTTAATAAGATAATTATTACCAAAAAAGAATTATTGCAAAATCGTATACAGAAGAAAAATCGAACAAAATAGATTTTTTTTCATTACAGCGCCATCTTTTACAAAATGGAAAAATGTTTTAGACAAAATTTTATTTTTAGTCGAATGATCCGAATCTGCAATAAGAAATAGGGTGTTCCATTGGAAATTTTAAAGTTACCCCCTGTTTCCCTTATAAGGAGGAGAGTATGATGACCAATTTTAGTACTGATTGATTTCCCCCCTCGAATTATTTAATTTTTATTTTAAACATTTCTTTATAAAATGCATACTAACTGAGACATTTCAAAGTTTCAAGTTAAATGATCATGATCGACTCACTAGTAGTAAATTTCTGATAGTTTCTTTTTTAAGTTTCATCATACAATTCCTATGGGAATATTGAAAAGTAAAAGATACTAAAAATAGTATCCATAAAAAACAATTGCAAAAGCAAAAAACACAAATTAGGATTTTTTTCAAACCAAACAATAATAAGTGTTATCCCCTGATTTAAATTGTAAAAATTGTAACTTAGGAACTGAATCTACAACAATGGCATTAGTAACATTCAATGTAATTTATTGCATTGAGCATGGTCTTTTTTTGCACTATTTTGTAATAATTCCAAGATTTTTCTCTTGGCATTGTACTGCACCTATAAATAAACAACAAAATGTTGAAATGATTTTTTTGCACTATTTTGTAATAATTCCAAGATTTTTCTCTTGGCATTGTACTGCACCTATAAATAAACAACAAAATGTTGAAATGATTTTTACTTTGTTTATTGTTTTAATTTTGTTAACCTTTTAAAAGGCTTTTATGCAAAGGGTTTTTTGTAAATGATTTATGAGTTGTGATGAGATCTTTAACAAATTAATCATAGAACATAACTAATACTATACTTCTTCTCATTCTTTAAATTAACACAAATTAATATTCTAATTCAGTTTATTGGCCTTAACTTCGCAAATCAGCTGTTAAACAATTGATATTTACATAAAAAAACTGGAAAAGTTTCCGGTAACTTTAAAAGAAACTTTCAAAATAAAAATAAATTCCCGACTGAAAACTTTCCGATTCTCAACTCTAATGTAAACTATTTTAATAAATTTTACAACCCAAAAGATATTGTTTTGCAGATGATGACGGTAGTCCATACTTACACCTTATTGTCAAAGGGGACGTGGATGGGACCCTTGAGGCACTCCTGGACACCTTAGACACATATGAATCGGAGGAGTGCAAAATGGAGCTAATACAATACGGAGTAGGTGCCGTAACCCAAAATGACATAGAACTTGCAGACACATTTAAAAGTATCATCTACGCCTTTAACGTCGAATTACCGGCAAACTTGAAAACGATGGCTGAAGATCTCAAAGTCGACATACGGCATTTTAACGTGATCTACAAGTTGATTGACGATGTAAGAAACGAAATAAACGGCAGGTTGCCAACGAAGGAAGTAGAAGAGATTTTAGGTGAAGCCACTGTTTTGCAACAATTCGAAATCAACCAGGGTAAGAAAAAAGTTCCAGTGGCGGGCTGCAGGTGCGTCAAAGGTAATTTAAAAAGAGCTGCCATGTACAAGCTTGTTAGAAATGGGGAAGTTGTGCACACGGGTAATTTATCGTCCATGAGGCATTTAAAAGACGAAGTGGACACCATTAAAACAAACACTGAATGTGGTCTTCAATTATTTGATAAAGATGTTACGTTTCAATCCGGAGACACCCTCATATGCTTCCAAATGAAAAACGAAGCCCAGAAAACTGACTGGGACCCAGGATTTTAGTTAAACTTGGTGTAAATATATTTTGTAAATAAAACATGTTGAGTTTGACTTTGATTTTAATAAAAAAATATTTGGTATATAGTACAAAGATTAAATTAAACACTAATCCGACAGTAACAATGAAATAAATACCTAATTAATTAATAAATTACTTTAATTGTTCCATTAGTAACGTCATCAACGTTTGGAACCTGCTCCTGATTTGCGAAACCGTTCTATTTTGTAATTGTTTTGCGATTAGCAAAAAGGCGTGTTCTTTGTCATTTTCCTTTTGGAAAGTCTCCAAAATTATTTTATCTTCATCCCTTCTCCAAGAAGTATCTTCACCAGTGTTACTATCACTTTGCGAATGCGCATTACAAGAGGATACACTGGAATTGCTGTCTGACTCGCAGTTATCTTGTGAGGACTCTTCACAAAATTCTATAATAATTTTAAAAAAATCCTTTAGAAGAAACTAGAATACCCCTTAATTTTCGGTAGTAGAACTAAGTGAACCATGGTGTAACCCGTTTTTTTAGGTTAGCTCGTTTTCTCAAGATATTTCATATATATGTAAGCTTGTGTACTTTTTAGCAATATCTTGCATATTTTTATAGTAAGAAACACTGAAATCTCTCTTAACATGTCTTTATTTATTTTTAATTTATCAATAGTCAACCCACTTTTTTTTAATTAAATATATTTTGATCCGTTCCTGGAATCCAGAATTAGGATGTTGTGTTTTGATTTGAAGATTTCAACAATGCAAAACTGAACTAACAGATGGCAGTATAACCTGTGTTCCCTGGGGTTGCCAACAGGAATTTTTTTATCAGGTATGGTTTAAAAAATGAGTTTCCCATAAAAAAAATAGTTCAAGAAAGAAGTATTTTTTTAATTTTAACTATTGTATTTCTATGAAAAGAGGTATATTTGTTTTTCCACATCAGCCATCCTTATGATGCATTTAGACACCAATGCATTTAAGAAATTAAAAAAAACATAAAATTTATTTATAAGAAAAGTATTGATTATTTAATTATTTTTTATAAAATTTTCATAAACAAAAACCTACGAAGGCATAGATTAAAATAACTAATTTTAGAAGTTATGTCAAAATTTTTTGATACAAGTCGAAATTTTCTTACAATTTTAAAATTTCGTGTTATAACTTGAAATGTTACCCAAAAATGTTGACTTATACCACGAAATTTTAAAATTTTGAGATATATTATTTTTTTGTGCTGTGTCCCTTCTACTCCTGTATAAAAATCAATAGGACATTTTTATAGCTCAGTTTAAATAAACTGTTTCTTATAAAAAACCCTATAAAACAATAAAGGTACAGTTGCATCCATTAAAAAAGCGTACATGAATTAAAATAAGAGAAACTGTCACCACAATATTATTGCTTAAAGTCACCCCTCATATATATATAAACAAAACTGACATCTGTTAACCTTACTTTATCCCAATTTAAAACCTGAATAACAGTGAATATTGAAATCAGCCAATCACTGATGCCTAACAACGTGAATAATGAGTTCATTATTTACGTTGTTGGGCCGGGTGGTTATATTGGTTACCATTATTTATGGAAAAAAACAAATAATGTCAATAATATGCAATATGAGTAGAAAAAATATATTATCATGTTGTTTTATTTTAATATAAACTACACTGTTTAAAAGTTTCACTATTTTATTTAAATATGACAATTGTTTCGCTACACTGATGGTTTTACAGGTAATATTTTTAGTACAATATTGGGGAAGATTAAATTAACGTTATACAATAAAGGAACAATAACTATGGGGATGCCCTGTAATTTCTATAGTTATATAACACTAAAAATTTTTGAATTTATTAAAATAAGTTTAATAACGGGGAATTATTGGTATCTATTTGGTCATTAAGAATAATATCAGTTTTTTTCTTTAATTTATTAATTTCCATCGATTCTAATAAATTCAGTTTCATACTTTTATTTTCTATGTGTAGGATTTTAAAGTTAGGATTAAAATTATGGTTTTCATTCATAAGGTGGTTTGCAAAAGTGGAATCTGTTTTTTGGTTTATAAATGATTTTCTATGTTCGTTAATTCTAGTTTTAAAGCAGCGACCTGTTTGTCCTATATACGTTTTAGGGCAATCTGCACAAGTTAATTGGTACACTCCTGATTTATTATTTTTACTTGTCTTATCTTTATTATTTTTAATAAAATTTCTTAAATTATTATTAGTTTTAAATGTGAATTTTATGTTATTTTTATTTAGAAAAGTACACAACTGTCTCATATTAGTACCTAAATACGTAAAAGTATTGTATGTATTTATAGGGTTCTTAGGTATTGGGAATATTAGGTTAATTGCTATTTTATGGATTTTTTTATTATAAATGTTATTAATTAATTGTGGATTATATCCATTATTAACAGCTATTTGTTTTATTAAATTTAACTCGTATTTGAAATCCACTTCGGATAATGGTACATTTAAAAGTCTATGTATCATCGAATTAAAAGCTGCCATTTTATGTGGGTACGGGTGTGAGGAAGAGTTATGTATGACTGTATCTGTGTGACTAGGTTTATGGAAAATTTTAAATGAATGGATACCTTTGTTATTTTGGATAGTAAGGTCTAAGAAGTTAATTTGTTTATTTTGTTCTACTTCCATAGTGAATTTAATGTTGGGATGAATATTAAAATTTAAGAAAATATTTAACTGTCTTTTAGTACCTGTGAAGCATGTGAGTATGTCATCTACATATCGGTACCAATATATGAAGTGTTGTATCTGTGGATGTTTGTGGATAATGAGTTCTAAGTGATTAACAAAGATGTCAGCTAACATCCACAGATACAACACTTCATATATTGGTACCGATATGTAGATGACATACTCACATGCTTCACAGGTACTAAAAGACAGTTAAATATTTTCTTAAATTTTAATATTCATCCCAACATTAAATTCACTATGGAAGTAGAACAAAATAAACAAATTAACTTCTTAGACCTTACTATCCAAAATAACAAAGGTATCCATTCATTTAAAATTTTCCATAAACCTAGTCACACAGATACAGTCATACATAACTCTTCCTCACACCCGTACCCACATAAAATGGCAGCTTTTAATTCGATGATACATAGACTTTTAAATGTACCATTATCCGAAGTGGATTTCAAATACGAGTTAAATTTAATAAAACAAATAGCTGTTAATAATGGATATAATCCACAATTAATTAATAACATTTATAATAAAAAAATCCATAAAATAGCAATTAACCTAATATTCCCAATACCTAAGAACCCTATAAATACATACAATACTTTTACGTATTTAGGTACTAATATGAGACAGTTGTGTACTTTTCTAAATAAAAATAACATAAAATTCACATTTAAAACTAATAATAATTTAAGAAATTTTATTAAAAATAATAAAGATAAGACAAGTAAAAATAATAAATCAGGAGTGTACCAATTAACTTGTGCAGATTGCCCTAAAACGTATATAGGACAAACAGGTCGCTGCTTTAAAACTAGAATTAACGAACATAGAAAATCATTTATAAACCAAAAAACAGATTCCACTTTTGCAAACCACCTTATTAATGAAAACCATAATTTTAATCCTAACTTTAAAATCCTACACATAGAAAATAAAAGTATGAAACTGAATTTATTAGAATCGATGGAAATTAATAAATTAAAGAAAAAAACTGATATTATTCTTAATGACCAAATAGATACCAATAATTCCCCGTTATTAAACTTATTTTAATAAATTCAAAAATTTTTAGTGTTATATAACTATAGAAATTACAGGGCATCCCCATAGTTATTGTTCCTTTATTGTATAACGTTAATTTAATCTTCCCCAATATTGTACTAAAAATATTACCTGTAAAACCATCATTTATATAAAAGTAAAATAAATATTAGTTTGTATACGATCTGAAGATGCTACAGTGTAGCGAAACAATTGTCATATTTAAATAAAATAGTGAAACTTTTAAACAGTGTAGTTTATATTAAAATAAAACAATATTAACATGGAGTTTCATCAAGTAAAAGTCGAAACAATTAATTATATTATCATGCATAAAATATACAGGGTGTTATGTAATTAATGTTATATATTAAAATGGGTTGTTCCTTAGGGTCCATAAAGAAGCACCTGAAACTTTTTTTTTCTAAATTCCAAAGTCTAAAAATAATTTATAATAACCTTTATCCTACCAAAAAGTACGCCACTGATCGACTAGGAACTTTAGGTTAATCTGGTGGATTTATTATGTTATGGTTGGTAACAGTGTTTCCAAAATCTCTCAAAAAAGTTGACAAACATTGTTTAAATTTAGCTTAATTACAAAAATGACAAAATTAACAATGCAAATTGTCAATTTGGCGTTTTTATTAATTCTTGGTTATTTCTTTTTTGTACTGAAGGTAAATTTAAACAAAATCTGCCAACTTTTATGACAGAATCTAGTGCATTTCTTTTAAATTTTAGGTTATGTTTTCAAAATGTAAATATCTTAACTAAGGGAAGTGCTTTTGGATTTATTTACACAAATTAAATGTTTAAAGTTTAACCTGTGAACTGGTCCCAATTTCATCAGAGTAAACAGAGAAAAAAACTGATGAAAAAATTAATTTTGTGGTTATGGATTTCAAATTTCAAAGGTACTAAATTTTCTAATCATTGCTTAAGCTAATAGCTGGATCAGTAAATAAATACAGAAGGGTATTAGAGCTTTAAGGGCATAAAACTTTTGTATTTATTGAGTTTTTATTTATTTTTTGCAAGAAAAATTTTTAGTAACAATTTTTTACATCTGGCAACGCATAGCTACTTTGTTGGTTGGTATCTATGTACTCACAAAATACAGGTGTGCAGAGATAAACAAGTGTGTAACCAGTGGCGTATCACAAAAAATATAAAAAACTTCTAATGCATATTTTTTCTTTATCTTTGGAAACATGTTTTTTTAAATATTTTTCCTTTATTCCTTATGTCAAAAGGTATTCAGTATTTTAATATATAACATTAATTACATAACACCCTGTATGTAACAAAAATTAAAACAAAATAATCCTATTTATTGATAATAAAAATAAATAATAAAAAATCATCAGGTAAAAAAATAATTGCAGTCCCTGTTAAATGTTGTATAATTATAGTCGCGGTCAAATCTGTATGGGTGCACGGCATCAATACTATATAATGACGTCCGCATTACCAACTTTGAATTGTAAAGTTACTGCCGTTAAATTTTTTTAAGGCGTAATTCTTATGTGTTATAAAAAAATATTATTCATTTGCGTATTATTTACCAAGAACTGTAACAATTTCCGTTTTAAAACGTTTTTTTACAAAATGGAAATAAAACCATTCACTGCGTACCGTTCAATATTATTGATGGGTTTTTTTGTAATTTTGATATTTCGTTCGTAAGCATCGAAAAAAAAATCTAGAAAAATGCGATAAACAATCAAGAAGTGGCTAAACATTAAAAACAAGGGATTGTATTCGCCTGAAAATAAATAAAGTTATTTCAAAAAAGAGTGTTCCCTTTTCCTTTCAAAATATGCTAAAGAAGTATCAGGGTTTCGCAACGCGCGCGCCATCTGGTGGACTTGCGTGACTTTAAGAATTGTCAACAATACATTTAAAGCACAGATTATACATCATTTTTAAATAAATAGGTAGTTTTTTTACAAGCGAGAGGAAGGCAGAAGTCTTACTCGACAAATTTCATTCAATTACAGCTAAATCGTGCACGTTATTTGTGTTTTACGTTGCAAGGAAAAAATTAAAAAACTTTTTTAGTACTCGATTTCGATTGATTATTCCTTATATTATTGATTAAGAAACTCAACGCTTAAATGCTTATATAGTTACGTTAGTGTGTGTATTTTATCATGGTGAATTATTGTGTTTTTAATTGTAAATAAAATTCAAGAACTAAATCGTTGCATTTTCATGTTTTGCCAAAGGATCCCATTCGGTAAGTACATTTGTTGGTGCAGAATTAACTAATGATAACTTTACCTAATATAATTTATATTTAAGTTTGGACATTTTTAAGAAATTAGTAAAAATAATTTTTGCACAAAGATAACCTTAAAATCAACCATTTTTATATTTGACCCTAGAACTAGGTATTTGACTTCTCTAAAAAACCCTGACAACTGCATTTTAAACAACAAAATATACCTACATGGCAACATAATATAATGGTATTTAACCGTTGAGTGGAGACTTTAAAGAATTCTTAATCAAAGCTTTTAATAATGCTAAATTTTGTTTAAATTTAGACGACTTATTTGTTTGACGATTTTTACGGAATTGAAATATTTACACTTTTCACGTTAATCACTACTAAAATGTGTATTTATTGTAACTAATAGGTACAATTTATATTTACAGAGACTGTATGCAATTTATTTCTTCATTCAGATTAACACTGTTTATTGGAAAACCGGTAAAAACTCAACCCAGGATTATTATTCTGAAAAACACTCCTTTGTAACATAAGCGTTTAACAGCTAATTATTAAAAGTTATACCTTTGTTACGATGATAACAGCCGAGTGGTGGCGCTACTAGCCATACTTCTTTAGCGTATAGCAAAAAGTGAATCCAGGAACGGATCAAAATAAATTTAACTCAAGAAAAATGCGAAAAATCCATCAAAAAGTGGCTAAAAATAAAAACAATGGACTTTACGCGCCTGAGTTGAGTATTGATAAATTAAAAATAAGGATATGTTCCGTAAATACACACGAGTTACCGGTCTGGTTACTGAAATAAATTCCTGGTTTTCTCGGTTAGTTCATATTTACGGGACACCTTTATTTGAAAAAACATAACCCAACTTAAAATTTTTTATTGAAACTTTTATTTGTGTCAAAAACTACAATTTGCATATATTTTTAATAATATTTCTATAGTTACATAAACAAACCTAAAACACCCTATATACTGAATTCAATTATTTTTGGACAAAACGTATTTTAATGCCTACGTGTAATGGTGGGTAAAAAAGTTGTTTAGAGAAAGTGTCTCTATTTAAAGTTCCAGAGAATAGATTAATTTTTTGGTAAAAGAAAATACCGATCCGGCCGGAGCGATCCGGCCGGAACGGTAGTTCCGGCCAACTGGCCGGATCGGCCGGATTTAGTGGTACCGCCGGAATTCCGGTGCATCCCTAAATAGGTATATAAAAGACTATCGATAAACTATCGATAGTTTCGATATTTGAAACTATCAACATCGAAACTATCGATATTGATTTTTTCCCACTATCGCGAACACTAGTATTTTGTATGCGAAGTCTGCTCCTGTGTTAAATTTTTAGGTTAGATAACCAACAAAAAACAGTAATTTTGTTTAGGGCAACACTGTTTCCATTTGGTTTGCAGCACTGGTAACCGATTTAACCGATCATACAGCGTCGGTCGTTTCGGTAACGATTGATTAACCTATTTTTCAGGAACCGCGTTTCTTAACTACATAATTTTCAGGAATTTTTCATTTACGGGACACCTTAACCGAAACCAAACCAACCAAGTTGATTTACGGAACATACCCTAAATAAAGACATTTTAAAGGAGATTTTGGGGTTTTTCATTTAAAAATAAGCAAAAATAGCAAAAAAGTGAATAAAAAGCACCCAAACTTGAATCTGAAATATCACGAGAAAACGAGTTATCCTAGAAAAACGGAATACATCATTAAATTCTACGACCGAAAATTAAGTGGCGTTTTAATGTTGAAAATCTACCCACAGTGTAATTATTGTTACATACCACTTTCTGATTCGGCAGTTTGTGTACCAGGACTAGACGGTTTTGCTTCTACAGACTCCATGGAGGCTCCACAATCCCACTCCAAAGGTTCTTCTGCAAGTCTCTTGCACTGACCTTCCGAAGAACCTGGTTTGGTATCAAGCTCATCTTCCGTACTTTTGCGCTCCACTTTCGTGTCTGTTTCAGTCTTTATTTCTTTGGCAACCTGGCAAAAAAATTTTCAAGTGGCAATAACGAGATTATTTTATTGTTTTTCAATAATTTACCTTCTTTGGTATGCGTTTTCTAATAGTTTTATGTGCAGTTCTACCGCTCGTTTCAGCTTTATCATTATCACAGTTTTTGGAATTACGCGAGCTTTTTTGTGGTTCCTTTATTTGCTTTTTGTCCGGTTGCTTCTTACGTTTTCTAGGAGTTTTTGCTTTTACTTTTTTCTTCCCATCTACATCTTCTTCACTCTCCTATTGAATAAATTGTTAATAAACATAGGGTTAGTTAACCAGTAATTGACCAGTTAAGGAAATTTTCGTGAATAAATTATTATATTTTCCTCTATTTTTAGTTTAAAATAAAATAAAAAATATCATTGAGTTTAATTTTGTTTTAAGATTTGATAACAGCTGACTAAAAAAGAAAAAGAGTTTCTATGCCGACGAAAAAAAATTTAATGCACGAAAATTCATGATTTTCCAGTGGTTGACCAATGCCTTGTAAGCAGATATCATTAATAAAACTGTGCCATCTAGAAGTTAAGGGGTAAAACACTATGCAAATAATATAAGTTTTTAATTAGGTAATACAGGGACCTTGCTTTTATCATTTAATCGGTACATTGGTCAATAACTGGTTGATGGTCAATTACTGGTTAACTGACCCTATGAAAGTATATAAATTAGACTGGGCCAAAAATCGACTTTTTTTTTTTTTGAAAGTATATCGAAAATATTGTTTGGGATGACAAAAAAAAATATGGTGAAAGTTTGAGTCTATAATATTAATATTAAGAGGTCTATCATCGCAATTTTAGATTTTTTTTTCCTGAGCGAGTTTTTGTCTCAGAACTCCCAAATCATTGAGTTTAACAAAATTGACTTGGGAATATTTTTTGAAGAAAATTGAATGCTCTACAAAAAAGGTTTGATTGGAAATTCCCGTCGGATGAACCCTTTTCATACAATCATGCCTTAAAAATTGGTATAGTTTTACAATTTGATCTTTTAACTTTGCAATTTTGTAATTCAAGTAAAAATCAGTACCCTGAAAAAAAAAACGATAAATATTCTTATGGGAAATCAAATGCTCTACAAAAAAATCATTCATAATTTTTGGCTAAATTCACTCCATCAAAAGTTATTCAAGGTTAAATTTGAAGTCGAAAACGAAATTTTAACCTTGAATAACTTTTGATTGAGTGAATTTAGCCAAAAATGTTAAGAGGCTTTTTTTGTAAAGCATTTGATTTCCCATATATATATATTTATCGGTTTTTTATGGGTACTGATTTTTACATGAATTACAAAATTCCAATTTAAAAGATCAAAATGTAAAACTCTACCAATTTTAAGGCATGATTTTAAGGAAACGGTTCATCTGACGGAAAATTTCACTGTAACCTTTTTTGTAAAGCATTTAATTTTCTTAAAAAAATATTTTTAGGAAAAAAAAATTAAAATTGCGATGATAGACTTCTTAATATTAATATTATGGACTCAAACGTTCACAATATTTTTTTTGTCACCCCAAACCATATTTTTGATATACTTTTCAAAAAAAAATAGTTGATTTTTTTGGCCCAGTCTAATATAAATATTCCCATGTACCTCATCTCCATTGTCTTTAGATGGCGACACGGTAACCTGTTTGGAAGGACTGGTATCAGACCTCTTTCTTCTAGGATGTAACCCTGAACTTTTACCATTCAGCCTCATATTATGATCCTTATTTGTATTCGTCAAAAACGAAACTGTTGCTGGCCTCAAACCTCTACCACTTTGTATGTAAACTTTCCCTTGAATAAACTACAAAAAAAAATAAAAACACAAAATATTATTTGGTGTAATTTTACCTTTGTTCCACATGGAATACAGTGCCTGTGTCTCGACTTAAATTCGGGGTCTTCGATTTTATGACAAGAGCAAATACAAGCGCTTCCGCCATAAACATCTTCAACATCTGGAATCACGATATTTTCGCACAACTCTTCATCATCTGGCCTCAACATTTCTTTGTTTATATCCAGATTTTCGTAAACACCCTCCATCAAACTAAAATAGAAAAAAATTGTTAAATATTTAGGATCCCAAATAAAAACACCAAAAATGAATTTAAAAGTGCGCTGCATGATTTTTTATTTTAATGAAAAAATTTGAGAATGATCTTTTAGGTATCATATATAAAAAACCGTTGCCGTTTTAATTTTTAGTTGCTTTATTTTTAATCGGCACCCTTTAGAAACCTGAAATCGTGTCATTTTCTTACTCTCTTATAAGAGGCTGAAACTTTTTTTCTGTGGCAATTATTGAAATGATTGTAATTTTATTTTACTGCCCAGTAAGTATGTTTTCAATATTAATTATTATTATCTAATTAGTTCATCTCATAAAAGAATGGTAAACCACTAAAGATCTGTAATAATTTGCCAATTTTTGTGATTTTTGTCTGGCTCCTGTGCCTAATCTGCTAAATCTAGAAGGTTGATTTTTTTCAGGTATCAAGTACTTATACAATAGAAAACATAACTATTATTTTAAGTTTCTAGACTATCATTTTCTTTATTAAAAAAATTATTGAAACTTGATAATTTTCAAAATTAGCCAATTTTGCCCTCAAAAATCATTATGTTGAGGAAAAAAATAAAAATCTGAAACTTTCAGGAAATGTAGTCCCCACCTTCATCTTTTCAGTCTAGTTAGTCTTGTTTTGTTATTTTTACCAATGTAAAAGATATAATATTTTTTTTAATGCAGTTAAGAAGCGATATTGTTAGTTTTATTTATAATTTCAAATTTAGATGGCTTTGACTTAGTCAATTTATGTTTGGTAGAGAAATGTCAGAACTGTCAAAAATAGTTCATAAATATTATTTGTGCATATTTAAATTATGATTTCAAAAAGTTTACAAGTTTGCAAGTGTAATAAATGACGAGATTCATGAATTTAATTGCAATTAAAAATTCAAGAACATATCATAATTTTGTACCTCTTTCTCATAGAAAATATTCAAATTCTGAGAAGTTTTAAATTGTTAAAAATAAGCAAAACCCAAAAAATATTCTAAATAAACCCCTTTATTATAACCTGTTTTATTTTAACCAGTTACCTAAAAACTAAAATTTAAAGAAGTATTTACAGATTGTGTAATTTCTTTCCAACACTAACATTTAAAATACATACATATAACTTTTAACAATTCAGTGCCTTACTAAAGTATTTACAGATTGTGTAATTTTTTTCCAACACTAACATTTAAAATACATACATATAACTTTTAACAATTCAGTGCCTTACTAAAGGGATCAAAATAATAGAACAAGACTAACTTGGCTTAAATTGTGAAAGAAACCGACAAAAAACTGCTTAACGCATTTTTTATATGTTTAAATTAACTCTATATTAATTTCACTTATTGAATATAGTTTTTACATTCTTCTTCTTTAAACACCAATGAGCCAATTAAATACTTCATAATAATGTATATAATATATATTATTAGATTATATATATAATCTTATAATATATATATATATATATTGATAAAGGGTACATTGTCACCTCCAAAACGGAGACCCTTCATACGTTGTGACCTCATATATGACGCTGTGACCTCCAAATTCGGAGGTCACAGTGTTTAACCATATTTTTGACATTGGGGGAGTGTCAGTAATCAATCTGTGCAAAAATATTTCGGAGGTCACTTTGACCCCCCAGTCTCTTAAAAAGGAACTTTTAGTTCTACCATATATGAATTGGCGCTAGTGTCGCTTTTTAATAAGATTCAGCCACACCAAAGTTACCTCCGTCATGTATACGTACATTTGTTACCTCCAAAATTTGGCAACCTTGCAATATCTCGCGCAGTCATAGATGTTCAGACTTGATGATCTTTAATACTTCTTATATGTTATTTGTTACGCAGTTTCGCTTTTGTTCTAAGTGTAAAATAACGATTTAAGTTAAAAATATATCTTCCAGGACTTAATTAATAATCCAGAGAGTCGGTTTTCAAGGTAAGTAAGTTTTTAGTACATAATTAGGTAAATGCATTATGTTTATATAAATGGATATTGTAAAATGATTCTTTTAGATTTAGACGATACTAGTAATGATGAAATCATTACCAAAAAAGATAAAGAATTTAAACAAAAAAAGTACAAAATTAGTTTAACACATAAAATGTGTTTAAACAATATTTTTTACTCACACAATCTTTTTTCACTTTTATTTGTTTAAAAATGTGTTATTATTTTTAGGCTGCACAAATATGGAAATCGGGTTAATAAAGAATAAATTCCTTAACCATATTAAAACAATATTTATAAATCTAGCAAAGAAATTAAATCTTTTCTAGAACAAACGAAAATAAAAAGAAGTGTATCCCTTATTAAAGCCAAAGTCCAACACCTTAAGAAAAACGAAAAAAACATTAATTAGTTACCCTTATGACAATTATAATTATAATAATTATTATTCATAACTATTTTAATAAATAAAAATGTTTTACTTTACTTATGTTTTTTAATTATGCCTATTTATTGTTTACTTAAATTTCTTTCTTATATTTTTATTAATATAATAATAAAAATATCAAAAATATTAAAAATAAAAATATTAGAAATAAAGAAATAATTAAAAAAGTAAAATTGATAAAAATAATAAAAAAGTATACTAATAAATATATTCAAAATGATTGTGTATAATAATTATTAGAAAAATTAATAAAAATAATAACAATAAGATAAATTTTTTAAAATTATAAATAAAAATAATATTAATAAAACAATTAAAATAATACAAGAAAACTAAATGAAAATAAATAAAAATAATGAAGATTGTAAAAGGAATATAAATAATTGAAGTAGATACCTATGTACGTAATAAAAATATTAACAAAAAAAATAATTATAATAAAAATAACAAAAAAATTAGAAAAAATAAAAATTATACAAAAATACAATTGAAATATTAAAAATAATAATAATATCTACTAATAAATATTAAAATAACAAAACTTATTGATAATAATAATATTAATAATTCTTTCAAAAGTCAATCGGTTTGAAAAGTTTTTAAAAAACTACTTGCAAGCAACACAGTACATATACAATGTGACCCATTTTTTTACAACTCACCCCTGTAAAATCATTAATTATTGTGCGATTTTAACCGGATTTGTTTTAAGGTGTGTTTGTATTGATAAACTGTATATTTGGAGCAAAAAACGCCATATTTGTACTATGTCAGTTTTTAAGAGTAATTTTTTAAGAATTCATATTAGCGATTTTTTTAAACAAAATCTAAGCACGGCACTGGATTTACCACCCCCTCAAAACGACTCTTTACTAAACTTTATTTAAAAATTTTAAGTAGAAAAATGCACAATATCTATCTACAAAAATTTATTCCGTCGTTATCCATGAAAAAAACATTGAAATAAAATTAAACTTAAAATAAGTATACCATGTTATACTATTAGTTTAATTTTATTTCAATGTTTTTTTCATGTATAACTTGACAAAATAAATTTTTGTAGTTATTATTTCTCTATATTTTTCTATTTACATTTTTAATATAATTTAGTATAAGGTCATTTTGAGGGGTGGTGAATCCAGTGCCGTGCTTAGATTTTGTTTAAAAAAATCGCTAATATGAATTCTTAAAAATTAACTCTTAAAAACTGAGATAGTAGGCCTTGTATTTAGTAAAAATATGGCGTTTTTGCTTTAAAAATACAGTTTATCAAGATTTTACCTTTAAAACAAATCTGGTAAAAATCGCACGATAAATAAAGATTTTACAGGGGTTATGTAATAAAACATTTTTTTTGCCATTATACCTGCAAGACCTATTATACCAATACGTTCTTTTTTAAATCAAATAAATTATTTATTTCAAAGTACTCCATTTTTATTATTTTTAATATTTTGTCTTTTATAACAAAAATAATATTAATTATTATTATTACTAAATAATGTATGGCACATATAGCATGAAGCAGTGGACAAAATAAATCTGATATATATCCCAGATACTAAAGATACGTTGCGACCTCCGAAAATCCGGCAACACTGTCGGAGGATACAAGGCTGTTTGTTTCTCCGAAATTATATATATATTCGGAGGTGACTTTGTATCTTGAGTATCTCCAGTTTGCGTAAAAAAATTGACTTTTTAAAAAATTAAAAATTGCTTCCCCTCTTGTGGTGGCGTTAATATTTAAGGCTCCCCCCCGCAATATATGCAATCAAAATAAAAATCGTCCATTCCGCAGACCCGGAGGAGAGGTGGCCCTCTCAACTTAACGCAGGTCACAGCTGACCACTTATCTATATATATATATATGTATATATGATATATGATTATACAAAAGATAAAATATAATATAACTACCAAATATTTCATAATTATTATTTGTGGTATTCCTTTGGTGATTTTAAAAAGTTTTGTATATAACATAATATGACATATTATGTTATATACAAAATTTACCAAAGAAATACGCACAAATAATATTTATGAAATATTTTTGACAGTTCTGACACTTCTCCACCAAACATGAAAGCCATCTAAATTTTAAATTATAAATAAAACTAACAATATCGCTACTAAACGGGCATTAAAGATGAAGGTGTGGACTACATTTCCCGAAAGTTTCAGATTTTTATTTTTTCCTCAACATAATGATTTCTGAGGACAAAATTGACTAATTTTAAGAATTATTAAGTTTCAATAATTTTTTTAATAAAGAAAATGATACTCTAGAAACTTAAAATAATAGTTACGTTTTCTATTGTATAAGTACTTGATACCTGAAAAAAGCAACTTTCTAGATTTAGCAGAATAGGCACAGGAGCCAGACAAAAATCACAAAAATTGGCAAATTATCATGAAAATTTAGTGGTTTACCATTCTTTTATGAGATTAACTAATTGGATAATAATAATTTATATCAAAAACACACTTACTGGACAGTAGAACAAAATTAAAATTATTTCAATATTTGTCACAGAAAAAAGTTCTGGCCCACTATAAGAGAGTAAGAAATTGGCATGATTTAAAGAATCCAAAAATACAACGGCAACGGATTTTCATATTTGATACCTAAAAGATCCTCAATTTTTTTTTATTAAAATAAAAAATCAAGCAGCTCACCCCATTTGTTTGTGTCATACCTTTTTGGCGGAGCCTCAGACATAAAGTTCTGCAGAAACAAATCAACCAACACGGTGTTCCCCTTCAACATTGGTATGAGAGTAGTTTTGACTTTCTCCATCGACACATCAACCGACTCGGACAGCTCGGTTAGACACTTGAAGATCTTCCGAAGTTGCGCGGGTTGATCCTTGAAGAACAACTCCAACTTCTTTAGGAATTTCGACCTGGTGTTCATTTGAATCCACGGTATAAGCTGGCCGACGGCTGCAGCTTCGCGATCCCTCAAAAACAGCAAGAATTCGTCCGCCAAGTCGCTGTATTTCGGTCTCAGCAGTTTTTCGACTTTCTTGTACAAATCCACCGCGTCGCCAGTCTCGTGGTCGTTCAGGATTTGCATTATTTGGTGGTAGTGCTCCAGTTCCAAACTTTCGCGCAGCTTATCGTAGTATGCCATCGCAAACACTAAAATTAGGAAAATTATTTATTTCACTGGATTGTGAAGACTATGGCAGGCCGTTTTAGCTTTTATTAGATAATTGTTTAAAGATTAAAGTTTAATGTTTTAACATAAATTTACAAAGTTACATTTTTTTTAACTCAAAACAATAGATAGTCAAAAAATATTTTAAATATAAAATACAACTGTAAAAGTTAAAGTTAAAGTAAATATATTGATTTTTAAAATGGTAGTTTAAAAATTTTACCCAAAAAATTATCCGCTTAAATTTGTAAAGTCATTTAAATGGCATTTTTAATACAAACATTCTCACATTACATTTAAATGTAAGTTTTAAATTTTAAAGTGGTAATTTTTGGATTAAAAATTTATCAACCATCATTTAAATGACTTTACAAATAGGTATTTCCGGGAAACCTTACCCCACCTAGACAAAAAATCAGATGAAACTATATCTGAAGTAAAATAGTTTAATCGTAATTTATAACCTTAAAATATTCGTACATTGTGATGCTAAGAAGCTAAAATTAAGAATAAACACGGAAGAGTTTCAATACTCGATAAAATGTTCAAATGTCGCACCCGTTACAAAATTTTAGAAAATAAAGTATACAATATTTGTGCATTTAAAATACGTGCTTGTTTAAGGTTACTATTAAAGTTTACACCAAAAATTATTACTATATGCTTTCATCCAAAATTTTAAAGTATCAACTCTAGAAGGCAACTTGGTCGCATTTGCCGATTTTCTAAGGTCGCGCCCGATACGCGATTCATGACGTTATAAAAGGTTTTCTCTACAAGTTTTTATTGACATTTTGTTTGAGTTAAATATCTAATTTTTTATACTATTTTTGTATATTTTTGTGTTTATGAATTTTTATTACAAAAATTACCAATTTAAAATTTAAAACTAACATTTAAATACAAATTTAAACCAATAATTTTGTGGATTAAAATATTAATATTTTTAAACTTAAACTTTTACAGTTTCATTTTAAATTTAAAATATTTTTTGATTATCAATTGTTTTGAGTTTAAAAATATTTAACTTCTTGTACTATTTTGCTAGAAAATGTGTTTTTTTTTAATGTCTCAATACTATTTTTAAATACTAAAAAATTTAACTGTACGAATTTAATCCAAATAATTTTATTTAAGATTAACAAAATTCTGCCCAAGTAAATTATAATTGAGAAATTATTTATACAGGGTGTTTCATAATATATGCGCAGGACTTCAGGATGTGATAACTCATCCAAAAAGATGAAAAAAAGTCGCTAATAACTTACGCTCTAAAATGCACAATTTTCGAGATACAGGGTGTTGAAATTTTAGAAAAAAATTCGTTTTTTTCGAATATCTCTGGAACCGTTTATCGTACAAAAAACAGCTTTTGTAAGCATTTTCTACTCAAAATAAGCTATTTTTTGTGCCAGAAAAAAAAATTTTCATCATAATTGGTGGAGATTTTGAAGGGGTAGCGGGTGTTTTTCTCCTCAACTTCTACGCCCCTGAAAAATGTACGGTTTTGAGAGGCCTATTCGAACCGCCAATGTTTTCTACACAAAAAAGGTACTCTTGGTCATAAGCTCTAAAGTTGACCGTTTTCGAGAAAAATCAACTTTTATGTTTAAAAACATGGTCAATTTGAAAAAAAAATATTTTTTTTTACTAATTAAACAAAATTTATTTTAACGTTAGAACAAGTAACAAAACCAGACCATAATTGCAAAATAAAAAATGATTCAAAAGTTGTCTTTGCTAAATTCTCCAAACCGTAAAGGTAACGCATTTCAAACATTTCAGCATTTGTGTAAAAAATCATTTTTTATTTATTTTTTTTAATTTTGCAATTATTGTTTGGTTTTGTTACTTTTTCTAACGTTAAAATAAATTTTGTTTAATTAGTAATAAAAATTTTTTTTCAAAAAATTGACCATGTTTTTAAACATAAAAGTTGATTTTTCTCGAAAACGGTCAACTTTAGAGCTTATGACCAAGAGTACCTTTTTTGTGTAGAAAACATTGGCGGTTCGAATGGGCCTCTCAAAACTGTACTTTTTTCAGGGGCGTTGAAGTTGAGGAGAAAAACACCCGCTACCCCTTCAAAATCTCCACCAATTATGAGTAAAAAAAATTTTTTTCTGGCACAAAACATAGATTATTATGAGTAGAAAATGCTTACAAAAGCTGTTTTTTGTACGACAAACGGTTCCAGAGATAATCGAAAAAAACAATTTTTTTTCTAAAATTTCAACACCCTGTATCTCGAAAATTGTGCATTTTAGAGGGTAAGTTAATAGCGACTTTTTTCATTTTTTTGGATGAGCTATCACATCCTGAAGTCTTGCGCATATATTATGAAACACCCTGTATTAAAACATAATAGTTGGAAATAATATTGTTTTATACTGTTTAAATTAAATAATTATTTAATAAATGTTAAAACGGCGTGCCATAGAAGATGGAGCATAATAAGATTGGAATAGCTCCATCTTCCTACACTTTAATTTGAGGTCTTTGACGTACTTTCGCTTTTTTGCGTGTCCAGTTCCGGGTCTTCAGGCGAACAGATAGCAATATTAGCTAAAAATTCTCGCCTTATTTTGGCTCTCTTCTTCTCGGCACCTGACGGTTCTTTTTTATTTGGTTTTACTGTTGAACTTGCAATCATTAATGCATTAATATCATCTAAATTATCCTAAAAGTAAATATTTTACTATATTTACAATTATGTATATTAACCTGGACAACATTCGTGATTTTCATACGAACGTCACGTCGTGATTTTCACAAATTTTTGTGCCATAAGGATATCACACGTGATAAATGAAAATCATGGTTTTTTTGTAAGATAAGTATTATTACAATAAAACTACTAATTCGAAATATTAGTTTTAATTCCCCATTCCATTCAAATATCACGCGTGACTTCTACATGATATCACTATGATGAAGCATGAATCTATGATATAACGCGTGATAAAAAAAATCATGCGTGATCATTATGAGTTAATCAAAAAATACCGATTGTTGTCCAGGAATAATTCAAATTAATCTTTTAATTTTTTTTGTTAGAATTTCGATAGGTATTTAAAAGTTTCCGAAATATTTAATTTTGTCCCATTAAAAGAGTGAACGCGTATCACTGTTGTGTATTAATGTGTTCAAAAACTGAACCAAACATAACCTTAAAACAACAAGTTTGTTTTGTGTTATTATTAAAGTGGTGCAATTTATTATCTACTATAATTTATCGACAAATTTAAAATTAAAAAAAAATCCAAATATTACAGGTTTTATACCATTTTAAATATTTTTTTATTTTAATAAAATAAATAATATAAATTTAAAATCGAATAAAATCTGTAATATTTGAATTTTTTAAATACAATTTTAAATTTGTCGATAAATTATAGTAGATAATAAATTGAACCACTTTAATTTGAATTATCTCAAATAGGGGGGCCTGTAGGCGGGTGAGGCGACAGGAAAAACTAACTTTTTTTCGCAAACTTCAATTTAAATTCTGTTTGCGCCAAACTTGTTTATTTAATGTCATTATAAACTATTATAAATTTGGTGTGGGTCCCATGTCTAATAACTGAGATATTGGTATACATAAAATCCACCAGCCGCCACTGGTTAACCAGTTCCTAAATAAACATGCAGTCTTTTATTCAAAATGATCTTATTTATAATTAAATTATGCATGAAACTGTTGACAGTTTGGTTCATTTTAGTTTTCATTAATGTTCTAATTATGTGTTCCCTCTGTTTATGTAAGGGGCGGTCCATAAATGATGTCACACTTTTTTAAATATTTTTGACCCCCCCTCCCCCACTTGTCACAAAGTGTCACAAATTATGGGACCCTACCCCTCCCCATTGGCGTCACGTCACACTGATTTAATTTTTATGTAAGGTCTACCCCAGGAAATTTTTGCTTAAAATAAAATCTTAATATCCAGTTTATAACCATTATTAATTATTAAATTCCAAAATATTTTTATAATTTTGTGACATCACAACCTCCCAAACCACCCCACCCCCGGCTGTCACAAACTGTCACATTTTCGACGATCCCCCCTCCCCCCTAAGTGTGTGACATCATTTATGGACGGCCCCTAAGTCTTTGATCATGGAGCCTAAATCTAGGCTATGATGATAACCATTTACTACCAACATAAGAAAAATAATCAATGTCAAACTATTTTTGACGAATGTCAGATTGACAGTTTTTAAGGCAAAAATATAACTTAAACATACCTTTTCATTGCTTGTGCTGGGAACCTCCTTGTCATTATTTGAACTACTTGAAGCACTAATGTTTATACTCTTTTCTTTCTTCAAATAAGAATTTTGCTCCAGTGTAGAATTGCCACTACTTTCAGTACTTTGTTCAGCAATATTACTGCTGCTAACACTCCGACTCCCAGACGAATCTATAACCAATTCCTCCGCCAAATCCTTTAAAATATTACGTCTAGTCAGATCAATGTTTTCCGAAGACGTAACATTGTTCTCTGTACTTGTAATGTTGTTATCCTGGGGTGGATTTTTAATTGGCGTTGACAAATTCGGCATGCTAGGCAACATTGTGCTATTATTATGATCAATACTTTTTATTGGAGTTAAAGTCTTGTTGCTTTCAAATACTGGCTTTTCGAATAAATCAAAAAGCTTTCTTGATCTAGCAGGCTTCTTTAATATCCTAATTAAGTTATCCAATGGTGTTAAGACTCTACTCTTCACAGCCACCCTTGAATTATTCGACTTTATTCTTCTTTTGTTTATGTGCCTACTATTGACCCTTAACGGAGTTGAGGTTATGATCGGCTTACCGACATTATTTTTGTTATTACTCGCAAAATCAGCACTGAAAGATTTTGGAAGTAATGTTCTATGCGCATTGAACGAATTATCAGGCGTTAGGTAATTAAGCACAGGAGTTATCGTGATATTTCCATGACTATTGTTAAAAATCTGAAAATGTAAACAAACATCAGTAAACGAACTTTTCGCGGTGTTGCCAAGTTGACAAATCGGCGCCAAGTTCACGACGTTAATTTTTGAATATTTTTTTTGGATTTTAGTTCGGTTGGGTTGATGTCATCAGTGATGATGTCAACCCAACCCAACTAAAATAAAAAAAGTCTAGTAAATTTAAATAGGGTTAGGAAACGATGTCTAAAATTAGTGTGAAAACAATTTTATTATAGATTTCTCATTAAAAAAAAACTAAAAAAACAATTCTTGCTATCAATATTTGGTCAAAAACGCGAAAGTTATCTTCAATAATTGTCTTTAGGTTGGTAGTACCAACCCAAGGGCAATGATTGGGATTCCCAACCATTGCCTTTGGGACCTAATGTCGAAAATCAATTTGAAACCACATCTTTTATACAGAGAGAAGTCACTAAAAACAACCATACCGATGACGTGACGTCACGATGTTAAAATATAAATGGTACCACCTATATTGGCCGGTAGATATAATAGGCGTTTCAAGATTTACTTCACACTCTTCAATTTGGAATTTCCAAATGTGCAATAAAAGAATTGCAATGTAATAACAACGAAAAGGAAATACCTGGTATGGCACGCCATTTCACTTTTTAATCGCAAATGTTTTAAATGTAAAAGAATATTGAAGTAGGTTTTTAAAATTATGGAATTTTTAATTTTTTAGAATTTAAATTATGTCTGACATCCCTGCTTAAAATACCCCATAGAGACCTATACAAAATAATCTATAGGGCGCTACCGGATTCAATATGTGCATTTGTCCATGTTTTTTTCCGGATACGGCCCGATAGAACATTTATAGGAAATTACCTATAGACACACCATAACTTTTACATTTTCCCTATTGAGACTGATAGCAAATAACTCAATGAAGGGTATATAGGGATATCCCCATAGAGCAACCATAAAACATTTGACAAAATTTTATTAAAACCTATGGGGTCCTATGGGGGAAAACCTAATTTCTACATTTATGTTTATTTTCCCCATTGAAACCAATAGCAAATAAATCAAGGGTGGATATCCCTAAAGAACAACCATAAATCCCAACTATAGGTCTATACATACCGATACACCCTATAGAAACACCATACATTCTGATACAAATATCTATCGGTTTGAACAGGGTCTCTATGGGGTATTTTAAGCAGGGATAATAATAATTAAATAAAATTATGTCATTCACAAATTTAATTCAAATTTAATGGAAACAGATAGGGAGACATTAATTAATTACGTGAGGCATTTTCATGATAATTTCCCCCATTTTCGTCTCACATAATTAATGGATGTCCCCTGAGAAAAATAGCGAATTATTATTATGTATATATACATAATAATAATTCGCTATAGGCATAATAATAGTTATTTTTTATGATAGGTACATTTTAATTTGATACGCATTGTTTTTGTAACATTGAAATATTTTACCCGACAAATATTTTTAAACATTTTAAATATTATTTTGTTAGTTGAATTAATATTTAAATTTGGTCCATTTTAATTTCGTATAAGGTTATTTATTTTTTTACTTTGAAATTTATATTGGAATTATTGTGAGATCAAAAACATTGTTGAACAATTTGAAACAAGATTTTTAAACTATTTTATTGTATTTTATTATTTTTTAAGTTGCAATTTCCTATTTATTAAATGGCAATCATTTTTATTTTACAACTACACATAATTTTAATTCTAATAAAAATGATACAATTAATTTTATGAGTAGGTACATATAAAATTAATGCAATGCATTTTTATGTTATAATTAAAATTATTACTTTACATAGGTAATAAAAATTATAGAATTAATTTTATCTGTACACATAAAATGTATATAGATAATTCATTTTATGTCTACTCATAAAATTAATTTGGCAGGAAGTGGCAACTGCAGTAGTTCAAATGCATAGTGGTTATTTATGCCTAATTTTGGCGACATATAATATTATGTAGAGAGATTCGAGTTTTGTATCATAAAAAATTATTATTATTATGCCTATAGGCATAATAATAATTATAATGTCTATAGACATAATAATAATTAGCTATTTTTTCTATCTGTTTCCATTAAGTTTATGCTTGACCAGGGCCGGATTTATACTTAGTGCCGCCCCTGGGCACTGTTGTAAATGCCCCCCCAACATTGAAATATTGTTTTGATATCTTATTTTTTTGTACAGTATTTATTACATAAATAAAGTCCAGTTAGGTTCCAGCGCTTGAGAAGACACGACGCGTGAAGGAAAGCTCTTAAAACGTAAAAGTTTAAAGATTAAAACCAACAATAATTTAAAAAAAAGTGCAAACTAATAAGTGAAACAAACATTTTCATATAGTGCAAACTAAAATGGTGTAACGGTCATTGAGGAGTGAAGTGTTAAGTGATATGAATAAGTTAAGTGCCACCTGTCATTGGACGCTTTTCACTGGACAAGCAGGGGAGGTCAAACAAGAGGGGAGGTGGCCATCCGCAAAAAAATTGATAAGTATATGCATGACCTAATACAAAATCTGCAATTTAAATACGGCAGATATCTTTAAAACCTATGAAAGGCACACGGCATAGGGCAATAAATCTGTCAACAACAAATGCGTAAGGCAATCCCAATCCCAAAAAGCCTAATATCCAAACTCGAGATTTGTAAACATTAGACAACAGAATAATCGCGCTAGTAATTTGTTTAACTAATAAATAAATGCAATGCTTAATTTTGGAATTTAATAAAAAAAGACAAAACTCTACCACAAAACGTGCTTGGGACAAAATTTGTTAAAAACAACTGACACACTTTACCAAGTGCAGGAACTATCTGACCAGGACACGGACAATGACAATAACGAACAAGACAAAGACCTCGACTAGGAAACTACACCCCTGCAGCGAAATAACAACTCCCCAACTCCAAATAGTAATCCCAAATGTTTGGAGTAATACTAATCGACTGGTCTAGGGGGATTCCGCGTCGTAGGTACTTAGTTTTAAGTCGGCCTAATTGTCCCCCAAAAACCAACACCCTCCCGTCCCTCCTCCATACCCCACTGAGCGTATAGCATAGGCTCGGCGAACCCGAGAATGGCTATTAAAACTATTCGCCTCTCGCTCTCGGGCCCCAAATAGGGGACAGTACGGAACGCAATGGACATTCGCACCCAGCAAACACGGGTGAAGCCGTGCAGTTGCTGGGGAAGAACAAAAATCGGCGTAAGTAAACATAGGCCTGTACAGGGTTCGAGAGTCAAGAGGAAATGGGGCTGGTTATACGTCTCTTATACTCATACTCATATTTATTACATAAATAAAGTCAGTTAAGTTAACTTAAAAAAGCATTCATAAAAATTGTGAAAATAAAATAATAAAAATAAAATAAAATAACAAAAATAAAAGATGTAACTTTCCTATTTATTTGTAGAAAATAAACCTTGCGTCTGACCATTCATATTTTTCTGATTTAATTTTGGATTATAAATTTTAAAAATAACGTACACAGAACAACGGACCAGACAAACGGAAAGTCTGTTAAAAAAACGGACTCAAGACCAATTCTCTCAAAAATGTAAAATAATGGTGACAATAATAAGAATATATAATTTTATGATTAAATTACTCAACATTTGAAATATTAAAATATTCTTACCAGAGGTGTTGGAAACAAATGATTCTTTAACTGATAAGGCAACTCGTCAGGTATCCTTTCGCAGGGTGGCTTCACCTTCAACTGTCCCAAAGGATAAACATAATGCAATAAGGGGGGCGCTCTTTTCGTTTGGAAATAATACTTAATGGGATTGTTAGCGCATCTGGTGTCTTTGTAAGCCAAAATGTGGTCGTAAATTTTTAAATATCCCTTTGTTGGTATCATGTATTCCTGTATTAATTGGCAGACGTTTTTCAGAGAAATGTCGCCGTTTTTGCTGCGAAGTTCTCTTGAATCGTCCGCTAGGGCGCAAAATTGTTCCAGACCCAAAGAAATAAGGCTAAAAAAATCTGGTTTTAAAGGAATAGTTCAGTTTTGTGTTTTACCTGTCTTCTGATTCTAAAAATTGAGAATTTTTATTAGCATAAAAGGCTGAAGTTTTGAAAGGCGTTTTGGGTAATAGAGATGTGTATAAAAAGACATTGCTTTTCCCAATTGTGTCCATGATAAGTGGTGGTAGAGTGTAAATGTAATTATAATTCCCAGCATTTTTCCTTTTTAATCTAAAATTCAATAAGTATAATGTAATAAATTTAAATTATGTACAACACTTACGATTCTGCTATATCATTTTCAATATGCCTCCTAGTGTTTTGAACCTCAGTACTATTAGATGAATAAAGAATTTCCCAATTACTTATCAATTCAATGGCTGATTGTAAGTTTGTTATATAAAATATTGACGCCTTTCTTCCGGTAGAAAGAAACTTTAAATTCATCTAAAACCAAACATGTATAATCTCAATTTTATGAACTAAAAAATGAATTTACCAAATATTCTTTACACTGTTGAGATTCCGCATGATATTCAGGATGCTGATACGTTAACAAAAAATTTTGTGTTAACATTTGAACATGTTGCCTCAACTGTTGCTCCAGAAGTGGTATTTGGTTTTTTCTTATCATTATATCTGTACCATCTTCAACCTCCTCAACTTCTTTAAATGTTGAGTCTGCAGCATTAACTGAAGTTTGCTTGAAAAATAATATTATTATATAAGTTTATTTATAAGTTATTTTTATGGAAATCGAAAACTGTACAAATACGAAAAATTGGTTTAATATGTTATTTTTAATTTATAAAAACTATCCAAGCGAACAAAAAAATTAAAAACATACCTACATAAAAATAACGTTAAAATTACTTTTTGTCTTCTTTCTAAATTGTCTCTTTATAAATTCAAAATAGTATTCCTACCTAAAGTAGTTTTTCTGTGTAAATCAAAATTTATCCCTTGAAAATAGACTAACAATTGATATAGAAGCAGTTTTTCACAGTAAAAGAGAAGAGAATGTTTTATGGGCACTGAACGCAAAATTTTTAACGCTTTATCAGTTAACTGCACTACTACGGCGAAATCAAAAGGTCAGTACAAACGTTTATATAATATTTTTAAATATTGGTGTCAAGATTTTTGTATTAAGATAATAAAATAATTTTCACATTTAGTATTATTTTAGAAGAAAGGCACTTTATTTTAACGATTGTATGACATTTGACAACTGTCAATTAACTTCAGCCCGTGACTAAAGCGCCATAAAGTCACAGCTTGTCAATGTGTATTTGAAAGGTCACTTAGTGTCATGGTAAGATGTACGTTAATGGGTGTTTTAAAGGTGGGTGTAGAAAAAATAGTATATTATGTATCAAGTTTGATAAACGCCATTTTATACACGAATTTAATTTAGGGTTATAGAAAAGTTTATAAACGAGGTGCATACTATACTTTTTCTACGACAAATACTTATTATCTTAAAATGATTTAAATCAAAAATTGGTATAGAGCGCCATCTATGAAACAATAGGGGAATCTGTGTGTCACCGTCAAATGTCAAATTTTTATATTTTATAAACACAGATTATAAAGGTTATAAATCGAAATGTATTTCTTGAAAATTGTCAGTTTTTCACAGTGAAAGTAAAGAAAATGTTTTATGAGCACTTCACAGTGGAGTCCGTGCCCGAATTTAAGTTATAGTTTACTGCCGCACTGTGGGCCAGAAATTCTCTAAACATTGAAAAAGTCAATTTTTAATAATGATGGAACAACAAGTTTTTTATGCTAAAAACGGTCAAGTAGACCATTAAGCTTAGAAAAACACCAGAAATATGTCCGTGAGTTTTTATGTTGACACACGCCGGTTTGACAAATGTCGGTAAATTTAATACTTATTATTTATGTTTATTTTGTTTAAACAAATCGCTTAAGTTTAAGACATTACAGTTAAAGTGGATTAACTATTTGACAGAAACTATGAATGGGCCAGAAGCAGGCAAGTTCAAGGTTTTATACCATTTAAATTTTATAGATTTCTTTGCGAATTTACAAAAAAAATAATGATTTAGTGAACTCATGTAAAAGCAAAAATTAACATATCACATGGATATTTCACCAGATATATATCAAGATCGACACTGAACTACACGTTTTTGTTAATGCTCTTAAACTCTCCAGTACTCAAGCTTTATTATCAAAAAAAAAACTTTTGCCGAATTTTGCCTATCCAGAAGAAAACGCAAGATTTCCTGTGTGGTATTTTACAAATTGATTCGGGTATTAGTTGAAAGGATATTAGGCCTAGATTGTAAAAGACTTTTTGAATATGTGATCTGTCATTTTGAAAGTTTTGACTTTTTTTTCGAAATGTCATATTTAAGGCAATTTTTGTGTTTTAAATTGATTTTTAAATTTTTTTTTTGTTTAATCGTTTGAGCTGTGGTGCCTATAAATTGGCAGTAATTTTAAAATACCCTGAAAACAAGAAACATTTATTATTAAAAATATAATAATATAAAAAAAAATTATTAAAAAATATATATACAGTGTGACCCATTTGTTTGCGACTCACCCCTGTAAAATCTTTATTTATTGTGCGATTTTAACCGGATTTGTTTTAAAGTGTAGATCGATAAACTGGATTTTTGGAGAAAAAACCGCCATATTTGTACAAAATACAAGGCCTACTATGTCAATTTTTAAGAGTAAATTTTTAGGAATTCATTTTAGCAAGTTTTTTAAACAAAATATAAACACGGCACTGGATTCCCCACATGGTAGTATTACTATAAGTTTAATTTTATTTCAATGTTATTTTCATGGATAACTTGACAGAATAAATTTTTGTAGTTATTATTATGCATTTTTATACTTAACATTTTTCAATAAAATTTAGTATAGGGTCGTTTTGAGGGGTGGTGAATCCAGTGCCGTGCTTAGATTTTGTTTAAAAAAATCACATATAAATTCTTAAAAATTTACTCTTAAAAACTGACATAGTAGTATTTTGTAATAATATGTCGTTTTTTGCTCCAAAAATACAGTTTATTAAGATCGACACTTTAAAACAAATCCGGTTAAAATCGCACAATAAATAAAGATTTTACAGGGGTGAGTCGCAAACAAATGGTAAATAATGTTTTTTCATAACTCAGCTTTTTCAATCTTATACCTTCGGCTTTGTATTGATTTTTTTAAATTTAAAATATAGCATTTTAAATATTTTTTTTGCATAACTCAGCTTTTTCAAGCTTTGTTTCGATTTTTTTGGGGCCATAAGATGTCTTTGAAAGTCTATATTATTTTTCAAAAACTGTTGAAAAATAAATAGTTTATAGATATATGGGCTCTTAAAGTTATATTTGTGATATTATTTCCATTTTGACATCCTATATCTTCTATTACAAAACACAAGATCTTCAATAAGTTTTACAATTACGACAATTTTACTCTGGTCTAACAATATTTCGTTGTCTGAGAAGCTGTTTATAAGTGAAATTAACTTATTTTTTTTTGTTTTTGATAATTACATTTTAAAAATTTGATACATTTGTTGAGTTTGATATTTTTCAATGTTTTACAGAATCCTGGCCCACAGTGTGCCGGCGAAATTAAAAGGTCAGTACAATGTTCATATAAACTTTTCAAATATTGGCGTTGAGAAACTTTTTAATACTTTTGTATTTTTGTATTGAGAAAATAAAATAATTTTCATATTTAGTATTATTTTACAAGAAAGGCACTTTATTTTACCGATTGTATGACATTTGACAAAGGTCAACTAACTTAAAACTAACTTCAGCCCGTGACTAAAGCGCCATAAAGCCACAACTTGTCAATTTGTATTTAAAAGGTCATTTAGTGTCATGGAAACATGTACGATAAAGGGCGTTTTAAAGGTGGAAGTAGAAAAAATAGTTTTCTATGATACTTTTTGAAAACATAGAAAAAGTAGTAGTGTACTATTTATAACATGACAAGATTTTTTATTTAAGGGCATTTAAATTAATTTAACAACATATTTACTTAAATTAAGTAATAAATCCGCAAAGCTATACGTTTTACTTAAAATATTATAACCTATTTTTATTATTAGACAAGACGATGTTTCGTAAAATTTTACACTGTACTTTCTATAAAAAGAAATTAGAATTCAGCATTCACAGTTGCAATCTAGTGTGCCCTGCTTTGATTGGTTATAGAAAGTTTTTTTACAAAATTAGCATTCTACTTTTTATTACAAAAATTGGTAAAAATATAAAAACAAAAAAATTAAATATAAATAAAAAAGAGATATTATCTCTGATTACAATTTGTTAAACTTGCGTATTAAAAACGTGCACTTACTGTATTTTCCATCACACTTTGATCAGAAACGTGCTTGGTTATCTGCTGCTCAGGTTCAGTGGTCACAATAGAGAGGCTGGCTTCATTTTTCCTGGCATTCTCGTTGGCCACCTCGTTCTCAAACTGCACATTCGCAAACTCGAACAGTTCCGCCATCAAGTCGTTCAACTCCTTCCTCGAAACCTTCACCGCCTTATCCACCCTCAACTCCTCCTTGTCGACCTGGTCGATGTGCTCGTCCGCCAAGATGTTGTACTCGGGATCGTGATCCTCGTCGTCGGCCAACTTCGTGACCTCGTCCAGCGGCCGAGTGAACTTCTTCAGGAAATCCGTCCAATCCTCGTCGTCGCAGTCCATGTCGTACATGTCCGTGGTTATGTCGGGCGGTATGAATTGCTCCTCGATAATTTCCAACGGGGTCGAACTGAGGCACAATTTCGATCTGGTCCTCAAGGCTATGTTCACCTCTTCTTCCGCTTTGGTGAGGTTTTGGTTCGGGGGGATCTTAAAGACCCCATCTTCAGTGTAGTTGGTTTGATTTATGATGTCGTAGGATAGAGGGGTTGGGGGAGTTTGCGGGGGTACTGATAAGGGGTCAGAGTCACTTACTATCGAACTGTCTCTGTCATCTTCACTCTGAAAACGTTAATATATTAAGAAAATTTATTAATCTTTAGATAATGTTTATTTTAATTTAGGCAAAAAAGTCAATTTCGGCTTTAAATTTTTTATAATTTAGCTATACAATAATTATTAGAGATGTAAAAAAACGTTTTTTTTTCAGATGTGAAAAAAACTAGAAAAAAAACGTTTTTTTTGTTTTTTGTTTAAATCCGCTACAATAAAGTATATTCTGTCAATAAATAACATCAATCTTAAAAAATGGAGTAATTTTCAAAATGAGATTTTGAGTAAAATGTATTCTGCCGTGCTTAATGAAAACGCCGTAACCAACAATTGTGCGATTTTTGTTTTACGGCATTTTCTACTAGAAAAATTCATCCTGCGTCTATCCCTGGTACTCAAAAAACCGTATCTATATATATACGGTTTTTTGAGTACAGGGGATAGACGCAGGATGAATTTTTCTAGTAGAAAATGCCGTAAAACAAAACTCGCACAATTGTTGGTTACGGCGTTTTCATTAAGCACGGCAGTATTATAATAATAAAGTGAAATGTAGAATATATTACATTTTTTATTATTGAAAATTTTGACCGAGACTAAAAAATCTGATTTCTTATTATTTGGTAGTTTCCACATAAGAAACCAATAGCAATGTAAAACTAATAGAAAAAATTAAAGGATAAAAAAAAATTCCAAATTGTTTGCGATTTTTCGGATAGCTGTATCTTTGTTAAAAATGGTCGTATTGGAGCCGTAAAAAAAGCAATTTGAAGCTTGAAGTTTCTGGTTTTTAGATTTTTAGATGAAAAACGTGCAACGCTCAATCCTAACAAATACCGTAATAAAAAAAATCGAATTTTTTTGGCTTTCTTTTTTGGTCCACGGAATGTTCTGACTTAACCACCACCAATGAATAAATGTTCTACAAAAATTTGCTATTGTTTTTTTGAAAAAAAAATATCCATACTCTACATGAATTTGAAAAATCATGAAAAAAGTGCTTTTGGTAGCTTTTTGAAAAATCAAGCGCTGAATCAAAAATATTATAGGTAGTTACTTTTTTTAGGACCAAATCAAAACAAGCGCGGCCCTTATTGGTCAATTCGGTGGTGGTGGCGCGTGCAAAGCGCGAGACTGTATTTATATTTACTAAATGTCATTTAGTGGCTAATTTTAGTCCATGAACTGGACTGGAAACATAAAAAATTAGGCAAATGGGACTAATCTTGAAAAATAACCTAAAATATGAAAAAAAAAAACCATTTGAAAAAAAAAACAATGAAAAAAACAAACAAAACGGACCGTTTTTTTTCAAGTCGCATCTCTATATACAATTATCATTTTCCAGTTAAAGGCCTAACAGACATTTCTGATTTAGTTTTAAAATTTTCTTAATTTTATTAATATAATAAAATGAGCAATTACGCGCGTGACGTCCCAACAAACACACAAGTCTGATAATGGCATTTTTAGCCAAAGCTTTTCTTGTACTGAGCCTTTACAGGAATTTTTTAGTAAAAATATTAATTTTGATACAAGGATGTCGTGATAAGGTCTTGCAATGGCCCTTTTCAGGCTCTTATTTTACCATAAAAGACCCATAAATGGCAATTTCCTTGATCAAGTTATTGGGACTTTAAAAAACCATTGAAGTGCCAAATGTTTTCTATATATAAAACTTACATGAACCTTTAATTATTCTTTGGTTAACGCAATATTTTAAAAATGACGCCCAGTGTAATTCCTATAGTTTTAGTGTGTTATACCATAATGCTAATTGTTGTTAAATTAAAATGAGTAAGTAGGTGCATTTTTAATTTTACAAATTTTAGAACTCTTATTACAAACAAAATACCTCCAAAACTGTAGTAGAAAGGTTTAATTGATAAGGTCAAAATTGGGTCAATTGCGAATAAAATATATTAATCTAGGACAATCTACCAAAAACAGTGAACTTTGTAATCTATATTTTAATTTTAATTGTTTTATTTAGCTTAAGGATTTTTTTATTTATTTTAATATTATGGATTCCATTTATTACCTAATAAACAGTTTTTAAAATAAAAATTGTATGTTTTACTTATACAAGTCATTATTACAACACATGCTTTGTATTTTAAATTTATGAATGTTTTTATACATTTCACGATAATATATTAATTAATGTAGTGGATAAGTATAGTATTTATTATGGTGGATTAAATGTGGTTTGTATATTTTTATTGGGTCGGATATTCCACAATAATCGGAAATTTTTATCCCGACCGTCAGAAATTGTATTGTGACGGTAGGGATAACAATTTCTGATTATCGTGGAATATCCTTATCTTATAAATATATACCTACTACATTTAATCCACTATAATATCATACTTCACTTAACCATTAAGACAATTTAATTTGGAACAAAAATTATTATTGAAAAACTACCCTAAACAAATAATAAGAAATTGAACTTATCTAATCTGACATCTATGATCTCAAGGTACTGAATAAATCTTATCCTAATACTAACCTCTTCTTCACCAGGAACATATTCATCCCCAGAAGAGTCCTCTTCTTGCAAATCTCCACTAAATAAGACATGAGTCTCTGATTTTGAATTAGACTTGGGTTCCACCAACAAACCATTTGGAACATTGGACAAAAGCTCCCTTAAATACAACAATATAATGTTAAATGAAAACAAAAATCTTCTATATTTACTTTGTTTTTGCTCTTGTAAGTTTTGGCTCATAAACTGTAACATTCTCGTCATTCTCTTCAGGATGTTCAGCCTGTCTCACCAAAGCTAATACATGTTCGTTAGTAACCACATGCTTTAAAATGTGTTTAACAGTATTTGCACTTAATTTGGTCTTGGCAGCTTTTTCTCCCAAGCTCTCTTCTATATTATCCTCAACTTCGTTAATTATTTGTTTATCCACTTCATTGGGCACAAACTTTTTTCGTTTTGTTGGGCTTTCTATCACTATTTTTAACGCGTCGTCCGAATTATCTTCGTCAGACTCTTGCATTATTTCGAGGGAATCCATGTTCAGTTCAAAAAGAATCGCGTAGTGTCAACAAAAAACAATAACATTTTAAATTAAGGTTATGTTTACTCACACACAGTGTTGCCAACCAGTGTTGACAACGTTTTTTTCAAAATTAAACCCACATACACGTACTTCCACGTATGTAATTAAACCCAAACTCCTTAGAATTACCTCAACAAAAATTAAGCTTGATTTATAACATTGAAAATGTCTTTTGCTAGAAACCATAGAAATAATACTATTATTTGTATTTTTATAGTATTATTTCTATGGTTGCGCAGGGCAGCCAACTATAAGCCATCTTGTCAAATCTTATTTATTTGTTGCTTATACGAAATCAATACAAGTAAATACACGTTTTATTTGTTGTTTGAGAGTTTTCTATTGTTTTATACAGCTTGCCTAAGTACCTATTTTCTGAAGTTGATTATGTGAAGAAGTAGTTTCCATAGACAATGGAACAAATAGTTGTTAAAAAAGAACCTGAAGAACTGGTCGTTAAAAAAGAATCTGAAGAACTAGTCAAAAATTCCAAAGGTGATATTTCGATGAATTATGATAAACCTAGTCCCTCTGCTGACCAAGAAATGCCTTCAGCCTCTGGAACAGCAATAAAACAAGAAATTAAAGTTGAACTGGATGATAGTGGAAACTCCATTGTATACAACGAATTGTGGGTAAAAGAAGATTTTGATGAAATCAAGCAAGTCAAACTAAAATTTGAAGCTGAAGATAAAATGCCTTCAACCTCTGGAACAGCAATAAAACAAGAAATTAAAATTGAACTGGATGATAGTGAAAACTCCATTGTTTACAATGAATCTTGGGTAAAAGAAGACATCGATGAAAGCAAGCAAGTCAAACTAAAATTTAAAGCTGAAGATAAAATGTTTTTTAACCAAGGGTAAGCATAGTCGCCATTTATTGCATTATAACTATGGCAACAATTGTTTGACAGTTGAGATGTGCAACAAGTGAGTTTTAAATTTGAATTTGTACACAGCCTGTGTCTTATGTTCTGTAGCTTGAGTATTTCTGTTTAACCTTCTTTATCTATGGTGTTCCTATCCCAAAACAGCTGTTTACAGAATTAAAAAGTATTAGTTACAAAGGGTCCAAGTTCCAATTCAATTTTTTTTATTTATATACAGTGACCCATTTGTTTGCGACTCACCCTGTAAAATCTTTATTTATTGTGCGATTTTAACCGGATTTGTTTTAAAGTGTAGATCTTGATAAACTGTATTTTTGGAGCAAAAGACGCCATATGGTACTATTACTATAAGTTTAATTTTATTTCAATGTTTTTTCATGGATAACTTGACAAAATAAATTTTTGTAGTTATTATTCTGCATTTTTTTTTCTTAAAATTTTTTAATAAAATTTAGTTTAAGGTAATTTTGAGAGGTGGTGAATCCAGTGCCGTGCTTAGATTTTGTTTAAAAAAATCGCTAATATGAATTCTTAAAAATTTACTCTTAAAAACTGACATAGTAGGCCTTGTATTTTGTAAAAATATGGCGTTTTTTGCTTCAAAAATACAGTTTATCAAGATCTACAGTTTAAAACAAATCGGGTTAAAATCGCACAATAAATAAAGATTTTACAGGGGTGAGTCACAAACAAATGGGTCACACTGTATGTAAAAAAAGTATAGGATATGCCTAGTGATATTCTAAATGCTAGCAATGTTTTAGACAATAATTGGCCTAACTTTTATAATTTTAGGTCTAATATCAATAATAGGGGAGATGAAACTGAAAATATGTTTTGCAATATTAAGGAAGAAGAAAGGGACAACGACTTTTCTGAAGATAAAAAATTCTCACTCAATGAAGAAAAATATGAGAGTAAAGCCATGTTTGAGACAAAAATTGAGATGGAATATCATGGGGTTAAAAATGATGAATGGTGGTGAGTTATACTTTTTTATTAACATTGGAAAATGTCTTATTGATTAAAACCCCTAATTTGTTTTAAATTTTTGTTTCCAATTTAAAATATTAGCAGTGCTAATTTAGCACCCCATTGTATTTTTTTTGGTAATATTTATAAAGTAACCTGTCCACTAATATTTTTTTTATAAGCAAAAACAAAAACTATTTAATTATTATTATTATGTTGATATAAAATAGTAGATTATGTTATAAGGAGTAGAAGTGACTCTTTTTGTGGTGAGTACATAGATTGACGGCCGAAGCGTAGCTGAGGCAGGCAACTGTACGAAGCACAAAAAGAGCTTCTACTCCAAATAACATATACAATTTTTTTTTCAAGGGCATGATATAAATAGGATAAGCAATAGAATTATTTTATTTACTCATAACTCGTGTGGGATAAAATTTTGGCTAAAGGCATTAGAAATTATTGATAAAAACTAAAACAACTAATAAACCTTACTTACAATGCCGATAAATATCCGAAACTAAAACTAAACACTGCTCTGTCAAAATGCTGCGCTTGAATTAATTTTGACGTACTGACATTTGTTTGAAGTTTCGACATTGGCGACTCGTCTATCATCATAATATTATACTAATAAACTAGTTTTTCTTTATTTCGTTCAATTAAAATTTAATAAATAATCACTAAATATTCCGTGCGATTATAATTAATATAATTAATACATCGTGATTGCTTTGTATGAAATGCTAAATTAATTTTATTATTTGACGTTTATTGAGTCACCTATGGATTTACTTCTATCCCTAGGCTTTTTTGAGTTTTTTGTCTGCCGCTAATGAAAAAGACGCACTTCAACTATCTCTATACATGCATATAACGTTGTATATCATGGCCGCTTGAAAAAAAACAATATTGTTTTTTAAAAGTTTCATGTGATTTATTTACTTTTGACAATTGTTTCATCACACAGTGACTTCTTCACTTGTTTCAGAGATTTAATTGGTTTTTGTAGAAGTAGGTACTTATAATAATTATGAACAGACACAAAAATGCTTTTTTAATTTTTAAACTGTTTTTTAGATAAAAACCTATTTTGTAGGACCAACAGTGAAGTTGAAGATAAAGAAATACTGGAGAAAATAGTGCTCCCAAAAGCAGAAAAAGGTAGGTGTTTTTTAATTTAATTCTACAGTCCCTGACAAAAAGTTGCATTCAAATTTTTACTAAAGACCGCGCATTTTAAAGGTATACAGAGTGTCACCAAATTATCCAAAAATTTTAAAGGGTGATTCTACAGCGCAAAATATGAAAGAAAGTTCCCAAGAACACTTAAGCCTGAATTATAGATTGCCTTCCTTCCTTCCTTCCTCTCATAGAAGATGAACAATACGAAACCCAATAAACATTTTTGGCGTAATTGTCACCATTAACATTTCCCGTGTAAGAATTTTTAATACTTTGTGATAATATTTTGCAATAATAGTAATAAAAAAAATCAAAGGATAAAATATTTTCTTAACAAAATCATATTTTGAAGTTATTTTAATATTTTAATAATTGTTAAGTTTAATTAAAATGAATAACGGGCAATGTTAATGGTGACAATTACGTCAAAAAGTTTATTTAAATCGTAGTGCCATTTAAAGATTCCCGTACCGTAAGGACGGCATTCCTTCCTCCCGTAGAAATTTTTAAGTTTTATCTTTCACCGTAAAGATCTTTGACATGACCATTAAAATTTACATTTTATTTTATATCTCAGGAGTACATTAACATCAAATTTTCTGGTACAATTAGCAGACGGGAGGTGAAAGGGGGAAAACTTTGACCTCGAATAACTCTAGAAGAAATCAATTTATCGAAAAATAATAGGAGACCTTTTTTGTAGAGCGTTAAATTTTATATAAGAAACTGCAATGATCATTGCCATAAGTTACTTTGATACAGAGGTATAAAATTCCAAACATAAATTAATTTTTTCCCATGTTAATTCAATGGGAAACTAAAATAAAAACAGCGACCTCTTAGAGTTGAGCTGGAACGCCCATATTTGGTGAGGATTTTTTTTATATTAAATAAAAACATTTGAGAGGGTAAGAGCGAACAAAAATTTTTTTGAAGCACCCTAATATATATATATATACAGGGTGGTCCAGGATTAATCTGAAAAATTTTAATGATCGATAGAGCCTGAAAAAACAATAAAAACAAACCCAAAAACATTTTTCAAAAATGCATACTAACGGAGATAATATCTATATCTATATTATAGTCCTTCAAAATAATTTTTAAACCATTAAACCGAATTCTTCTCAAATTTTGTGTAGGTTAAGCTTCCGTCAATAATATATTGAAAATTTTCTACAAAAGGCCCAGTGGCGGAGATTTTGGGAGGGGTTTCCCCTTTTTACCCTCATATTTTCGACGCCACTGGATTTTATTAGAAAATCATCAGATTTATTTTTATCCTTCTTCAATCTAAAAGCAAAACTTTTATGTTTATTTTTTATCAGATCAACGGAGATATTTCAGTTTAAAATTTCAAAAACACTGTGTACACGGAACTTTTTTTATTATTTTAGTAATAAAAAATTATTTTTTTTCTGAACGATTGTATTGGGCCAATAAAAATTTACCAATGAAATTATGGAATAATCACTTTCAATAGGGTGGTTTTTGGGTTGGTTTGATTTTGTATTATAATACAATTAAATTATTAATTACAGACGTTGATTGTAATCCTCAATCAACGTTACAATAAAACAACCTAAAAATATGACGGGATCAGTAACAACTGCACGATGACTCCTGGACGCTAGTTTATTTTTATAATATTTTATAAACTGATAACGTGGCATAATTGTTACTAAGTTACCGATTTAAATAAAATTTTAAAGTCTCCGAAACCACTGATCTTATGAAAATTTAACACACAAGTTTTGCTTCTAAATTGAATAAGAAATCTGATGATTTTCCAATAAAATCCAGTGGTGTCGAAATATGGGGGTAAAAAGGGGAAACCCCCACAAAATATCCGCCGCTGGGCCTTTTGTAAGAAATTTTACCTAGGTACACAAAATTTGAGCAGAAGTTATTTAAAAAAAAAACGTTTTTTTGCCTTTGAAGGGCTCTTAGTATGTTAGTGTGTATTTTTAAAAAATGTTTTTGGGTTTGTTTTTATTGTTTTTTCAGGCTCTATCGATCATTAAAATTTTTCAGATTAATCCTGGACCACCCTGTATAAAGAATAATAAATCGAAATCAAGTACTTAAACTAAGCACAAATAACGTGCGCGGTTAAGTTGTGCAGTTACAACTTTGCGAATAAAATTTGCCGAGTAAGACTTCCTCTCTTTTGAGAAAAAACTAATTATTTATTTAAAAATGATGTGCAGTTTGTATGCTCCAAATGTATTGTTGACAAACCTTGTATTTCAATATGCTTCAATATGCTTTTTGTGTTCTCCATCTCTTTCACTAATATTTTACGACAACAAAATGGTTTGATAATTAATGGTTTAATTTGATATTTATAACGAGAAATTGAAATAAATCATTATAAAAATTGTGTGTGTGGGGAGGGGGGGTGGTTTGTTATTAGAATAAAATTCCTTGGCACAGTATTCATTAAATATTATATTATAATAGATCAACATCCATAGTTTTTTATATATCCATATCTATATTTCTAGCGAAATTAATAATACTGTCAAGAATATTTTTATCATTCAGGCTTAATAGGTGTGTGATATTGGTTGGAAGTTGGACATTAAAGTTTAATAATTGGTCTAATAGTTCTTTAATTTGATGTGTGTGGTTATTGCATTTAAAAAAAATATGGTTTATATCACAAGATAGATTGTCGCATGAACAATTAGGGGAATCCCTTAAATTTATTTTGAACAAATGAGCGGGAAACCTACCGTGATTAAGTTTTAATCGGGTTATAGTGGTTGAATAAAATTTACTTACCTCGTAATCTTGAATATGTGGGATAAATTTTGGGAGGGTGGGGTAAATTAAGGTATATGGATTTTTTGAGGTTTTTACTGTTTCTATCCAAAGTTTATTCCAATTTTCTCGTACAATGTGAGTAAGAGATTTAAAAATGTCGGTAATGTTTACGTATTTTATTTCATGTTCAAAATTTAATGCTTCTTTGGCGAGTTGGTCCGCTTTTTCGTTACCTGGTATTCCACAATGTCCTTTAACCCAAATAAGTTTTACGTTAATGTTTTTTGTTTTAAGGTAATACAATTTGTTTTTTACATTTAATATTCTGCTATCTAGGTTATGTAGTGTTGTCACTGAAAAAAAACACTCTTGTTTTTTTTCAAAAAAAAATGTTTTTTTTTTGAAAAAAAACAGAGGTCCTTGTTTTTTTTCAAAAAAAATGTTTTTTTTCAAAGAAATGGTCAAAAATACTCAAATTACCTATATTAAGTGACAGGATTTTCGAAATGTCACTGCTGAGGAAAGAATTTTTGGCACATTCTGTCACTAGAAGATTATTAAATACTAATTATAGTTTCTTACTTACCATTAGTAATATTCTTAAACAAATTGTTTAACGTTGTTGGCTTTCGCCCTGAGCCTTTTCTTTTCGGCATTTCTACCAACTATGCATCAACCTATAAAGCCGCAGGTCTTAACTCTTCTATTATAATACCGTATAGACTATACGATATGCCAAGTCAGCATTGCCGACAGCGAGGCGCCCTTTTACCATACGTGGTTGAGAATGAAAAAAAACAACTTTTGTTTTTTTTCAGTGAAAAAAAACATGTTTTTTTTCACGTGTTTTTTTTTCAACTGAAAAAAAACGTTTTTTTTTACAACACTAAGGTTATGACTGTAAGTTAAAGCCTGTAATACTGATTTTGAGTCTGTCAGTATAATTATAAAAATTATTTTGCGTATTTTTCAAAAATTAAAGTATAAAAAAGTATTTTTTAGGACTGTTTAATAGCAATTTTCAAGAGCTTTTCAATGAGTTATCACAAATAGGGTGATGTCATTTAAAAAAAAAGTTAGTTGGGGTGGCTACAGCCCCAGGGGTTGCTTAGTAAAGGTCATTTTTGTGGTCATACTGATGCCCCCACATATCCTAGAAACGGGTTTTAGAAATTTTTGATATCTTTTTTTAGGTTCAGACTTATAGAGCATTGCTTTTTTCAAATAGACACCCTGTATATGTACCTACGCAATATAGGTACGTTACATTCTGATTAATAGTACTTTACTCAGAAAATTACTCACAGATTAGCAAAACTGTGTTGGAGCGAAAAAAAACGATATCGTTTGTTTTTAAACTTTTTAAACTAATAAACACACTTTTTTTACAGAAATTGAAAAATATCCAGAGTCCAGTAGTGATGAAGAAGAAGATTTGTCAGATTGTTTCTATGAGTGCAAAAATTGCTCAGTTCAATTTTTTAACAGAGAATTATTAGATAGACACAAGGAAGGGTGCTTCAAAGAAAAAATGTTTGAATGTGACTGTTGCCCTAAGAAATATTTCACAAATAATGGTTTATCTATTCATAAAAAGCATTTGCATGGGAAAAGTGAACTGGAAAAATTTAATTGCAACCAATGCGATTTTGAAACTTCATATAAAAGTAGTTTTAGAATTCATTCAAGAACTCACGATAAAGAACAATATTTAAAATGCCATTTCTGTCAGTACAGGGCTGTCCAATTACATACTTTAAATGCCCACATTCTAAGCAAACATAAACTAGAAAATAAGGGAGAAAATGAAATAAAAATAACAAGTAAAATTTATCAGTGCACTAAATGTTCATTTTCAACTGTTCACAAAACAAATTATCATACCCACATGAAAGTATGCCTGAAGTTAAAAAATGTTGAATGGTATAAATGTCACATTTGCTACTACAGAACTATTCATAAAAGTAATTTGAGTAGTCATAAAAAAACTCATAATAAAACAAAAGAATTTAAGTGTTTGTTTTGTAAATATGAAAGTAATTTAAAACTAAGTTTTGACAACCATATTTTAAGTAAACATTCAAATTTGTTAAATGAATCAAATAAAAATGTAATCACTTCCAAAGTGCATGCATGTCAACTTTGTAAATATAAAACCACATTTCCAAGTATCCTAAACAAACATGTAAAAAATAAACATTAAACATTTTTACCCAACTAATTAAAAACTTTTTTATTCTAATTTTTAATAAATTGTCATAATTTATTATACGCTAAAGAAGTATCGCTAGTGGCGCCACCACGTGGCCGTCATCATCTTTTAATAAGCAGCTGCGCACCATATGTAGGATGCCATAATACAAACATATATTTAAAATACAGGAACTGAGGCAAAGAATTATAATTATATATAAGAGAATGCCAGTTTAACCCCAGAAATGTTAGAAATAATGTTGAACCACGTCTGTACTATTGTATTGAAGTTGGAGGGAATCACTTTGAGCAATGCATTCGTTAATTTACAATGTTTTTGTTTTTTCTTAATTCACCTAATTTAAAAATTCAAATAGTAATTTCTCGAAAACTAATCATGGCATTGTTTTCTCAATATGCGCATTAAATGCTTTTTATTTTTTTCATCGAAAACCGTTAGTCGTACGAAAAATGGTCAAGAAATCAAATTTGCCCTAAAATGAATGGGGATATAAAAAAAATTTTTATTTTAAAAAATAGCAGTGGCGTGCATAATATTTTTCCAAAAATATCTAGACCACATCCTGTAAGGACGCCACTGGTAAAAAAATAAAAAATCTTCTATAACAAAAACTTACTTAGAAGGCGTGTGCCAAATTTTATAAAAATATCTAGGAAGTTATTAAAGTTATGATAAAAAAAACGGTTTTTTCTTAAAACTTTAACACCCTGTAACTCAAAAATTAAGAGGTTTAGGTCATAGGTTTATTTGAACTTTTTTTCTTAAAATCAACTAAGGATTCACACCATAGATGACCGAAGGTCATTCACACCCTTAAGGTTCAGCATCTTATTCTGAAACACCCTGTATACTATAATAAAAATAAAATTCAATTCTTTTTGTTTTTTGTCCTTTGCATTTTAAAATGCAATTTGAATTTAACCATGACTCATAGACTTTGAATAAAATTCAAAGCGCATGATAGACATGTCTGAGTCATGTCTATGCATGCATGCATAGACATGACTCATTTTATAAAGAGTGTGAAACAAACCTTACCAATTTACCTTTAAAAATGCGACGTTGCTACACAAAATTCCATCTCATTCGTTTAGCATATTTAATTAATATTATTAATGGTATAAAAGTTTAAAGACTATTTTTTTGACAATTTTGATTTGTATTTTTATTCAATATAATTAATTTTACTTTTGATGAAAATCTGCCTAAAAATCAATAATCTATTACGTCATGCAAATTGACCTTAACTTTAAACATAACCTTAAATATATCATTCCTGTTGTATGTACAAAGCCCTTTTTGGCAGGATTTTCTTGCAAAATAATGAATCTGTAAATTTTAAAGTGTCACCAAATAGTGCAAAATGTCGCGTATATTCGAACAGTATGGTGAATTTTGTGCAACACATCCATACGAAGTGATTTTTGCAGTTGTAACATTGACCACTAGTTTTCTGACTATTGAAAGAAGCCACGCTCCACTGGTACAAAACACCAATGAACAATTCAATGCCATTAACGTGGTGTGCATGACGGTAATCCGATGCTTTGCCATATTATACAGCTACCACCAATTCAGAAATTTGAAGAAACTAGGTTCGAATTACATTTTGGGAATTGCAGGGCTGTTTGTAGTGTTTGCCAGCTTTGTATTTACATCAACGGTGCTTAATTTAATGCAAATTGAGTTTGCCCAATTAAAGGATGCACTGTTTTTCTTTTTACTACTAATTGATTTATCTAAAGCTGCCACATTAGCTCAATTTGCTTTAACAGCTACATCAAAAGAGGAGATTAGCCTTAAAATAGCCAGGGGGATTTCTGTTTTGGGACCACATTTAACTCTGGATACAATTGTTGAGACTCTGGTGATAGGAGTTGGCACTTTATCGGGGGTGGATAGACTTGAGATTGTTTCCTATTTTGCATGCCTTTCGGTTATTGTTAATTATATTATATTTATGACTGTATACCCTGCTTGCTTATCTCTTATGCTGGAACTGGTGAAAATAACGAATTATTATGACAAGAATCATCCTGTAATTAAGAAATTGTTGCTTGAGGAGCATGAGAAATCTAACCCAGCTGTACAAAGGGTGAAAATTATTATGTCAATGGGGTTGATGATTGTGCATATTTACAGTAGATGGACTATAGATAATGTAGTTAAACAACCTGGTTCCATTTCTTTGGATAAAAATGTTTACATTACTGAAGATACTTCTTTTTACAGTCTTATACTGAAGCAATTGCAAATTAGCTTAGATCACATTGTTATTTTAACTTTGCTTATTACTTTGATGATTAAATTTATTTTCTTTGAGTCCAAAGACAACATTAGGGAACAAATTAAGCAGGATACTTTGGAGGAGTTGCAGAAAAAAATTGTCAGGGAAAGAAGAAGGACCATATCATCCAGTGTAGAGGTACAAACAGAATGTTGCTATGCTGTTACAGTACCCAGTGATAATGTAGAAGGTACAAATACAGATGTTTGTAGAAAACTTAAAGATTGCTTGGAAATATTCAGATCCAAGCAACCAGATCAACTAAGTGATAATGAAATAATGCTATTGGTTGATACAAAACATATCCCCCCATATGATCTGGAGAAGGCCTTGGGGAACCCCGAAAGAGGCGTCAAAATACGCAGAAAAATAATTCAAAACCTCATCAACAGCAACGCATTGGAAACTCTACCATACCGCGAATACGACTACAGTAAAGTAATGGGCGCTTGTTGCGAAAATGTCGTGGGCTATGTCCCATTGCCTCTTGGTGTAGCCGGTCCACTAAACCTAGACGGCAACATGTTTTATATTCCAATGGCAACAACCGAAGGTTGCTTGGTCGCGAGCACCAACAGGGGCTGCAAGGCAGTGGAGAAGTGCGGAATAACAAGTCGCATTGTTGCCGACGGAATGACCCGAGGTCCCGTGGTTCGGTTTTGTTCGGTTGCGAAAGCTAGCGAGGCAATGGCATGGATAAACAACAAGGATAACTATGCTTTGTTAAAGGAGAGTTTTGATTCCACCAGTAGGTTTGCCAGGTTGTTAAGAATTACCATGCATATTGCTGGAAGATATTTATTTATTAGGTAAGATTTGAGGTTTAAAAAATATTTAATTAATTTTTAATTTAATACAGGGTGGAGCAAACAAAAGATTTAAAGCTTTTAAACCATAACTTTTATTTTGCACCACTCAGTACAAACATACATGTTTTACAATCAAAAATTATAGAATAATGAAGTTCAGTCCCTAATTTAAAAAAAAATCGATACAGAATTACCATTAAACCATTAAACTTTAATGATTTAAGTTAAAATTAAACTAAATTTTAATTCTTATTTCATCAATAATTTTGCGCTTATACTCCATCCCTAAATTTTGACAGTATAAGCAAGAACCTAGTACTAAAATTTTGGGATTGAAAAGACAAAAGGTCCCAAATTTGAAAAAATATTTTTGCCTAAAAACAAGTTTTCCCAATTAAACATTAGGGGTTTGTTAAATTATATTTACAAAAGGTTGTATAAAGATCGATTTTTCTAGTTTTAAAATTGAAAAAACCTTCAATCCAAAATTTTCCATATAATTTTGTAAATAAAAAAAAATCTCATTTTTCTTCAAATCGTAAACAAACAAAAATATTCTAAGCAAATTTAAATTTTGACTGAAAGTTTGACGTAAAATGGTCGACCCATATACAGGGTGAACCAAGACTTGGTGACCAAGAATCTTCTATGAATATCGTTTTTTATTTATAGGTCGGTTAAATAAGAGAAAAGTTGCGTAATTACAAGTCTAGTAAAGTGGCTAATGAAAATTAAAAAAAATTCTGCGGTTCTCAAATAATTTGAAAAAAAAAACTGAAAACCTGTCAAAACCAAAAATCGTTATAACTAACTTTTTTATTCCTGGAAACTCTAAAAAAAGAGTTTCCCATAAAAATCAAGGTAACCAATAATCAAATTTACTACATAAGCTATGGCAGTCATTATAAAAATTACATGGTTATGGTAGCAAATAATGGTTGTTTATTTTATGATTTAAAAAAATTAGAATTTTTTTTTTAAATCGGATATTATTAAAAGACGAAAGCCCGCGAAAGTCTCAAGTTTCGTTGATTTTTAGTAGACTTATTTGTATTAATACAAATTGTATATGTTGACCTATGTTGACTTATTTGTAATGGGTCCACATAAGTATTGAGAAGTATTACTTAAGTTAATAAATAAACATAGTAAATATTTTTCAACAGTTCCAACTTTACATGCGAGAAGCAGCAAAATTAAGTTAATAATAATTATTGTTAGTCCACGAACAATAATAAAAAGTTACAATAGCAGTTTAAAATATCCTTATTACATAACGTAACTTTGATTTTGATCATAATTTAAATATAAAAATCAATTGATTTAAATTGCGATTTTAATCAGTGATTTAAATTATAACAACCCTGAGTCAAATGAAGATAAATGTGTATGTTTACATGTAAAATTTATTAAACTTTTTTTCAAAATTCCCAGGAATAACGAAGATATAACGATTTTTGGATTTGATAGTTTTTTAAATATTTTGAGAATGCTCTTTTTTCCAATAATTAAAACTCAGTTTATTTTTATTAAAATAAGGTACTTTTAACTCAGTGACAAGAAATTAAAAACCAATTGATTTCAATACAATTCGTTTGTTGCATTAGGATTAAATTAACATTAACCTTGATACTATATACATATTGATGTACAATAAATTAATAAAATTTTAAACCATAATCACAATTAATTTCAAAGTTTTTGAAAAAAATTGCGTAAAACAATATGGTTTAATATTATATACAAATATTTAAAAAAATCTGTTAGCATAATTATATAAACCAGCACTAAAACATAACAATTAAAATAAATACAATTTTTTTGTTGTAATATTATTATTATTATAATTTTAGATTTGTAGCTGAAACAGGAGACGCCATGGGCATGAACATGGTATCGAAAGGTACCGAACAATCTTTAAAACGTTTACACCGGGAATTCCCCGAAATGGAGGTGTTAAGTCTAAGCGGTAATGTTTGTACCGATAAAAAACCGTCGGCATTAAATTGGATACAGGGTAGAGGAAAAAGTGTGGTGTGTGAAGCCATAATACCAGCTGACGTAGTTAGTTCTGTACTAAAGACTAATTCCCATACTATGGTCGACTTGAATTTGACCAAAAACATGATTGGGTCTGCTATGGCGGGAAGCATAGGTAATATTAAATATAAATATAAATTTTGTACTAGTATTACGTTAGTTATTTTGTTTCAGAGCGCTTAAATTTCTTAGTTTATTTGAAACTTTATTTGGGAATAAAAAATACCATAATAATTAAAATATTAAAACAAAACATACATACATTTAATTTATATGAAAAAAAAATATGCCGTAAAAATGATTAATTTTTTATAGCTATAGCTCCATGATAATTAAAATATTAAAACAAAACATACATACATTTAATTTATACGAAAAAAAATATGCCGTAAAAAATATTAATTTTTTATAGCTGATTTTACGAATTTTGGCCCAATTAATAAAAGCATACTTAAAAAAACGTGCATGATAAAAAGGAGAAATTTGTAAACGTGAATTTAAAAAACGAAACAAAAATTGTTATTTATTTTGTATTTATAAATTAATGAAAGCATATTTTTTATATGTTAAATTTTCAATCTAATTTTGAAATGCCCCTATTGCACAAGGAAATCTCTTTTAAAAATGTTGTTTTATAACTTTTCCTAGTAAAAGTTTCCTTTAAAAGATTTTGTATAATTTTTCATAATCAAGGAGGTAATCTGCAAACTGAAACTAGACAAGAATTTCATAAAGACCGCTGAAGCAGTTACCAAACAATATATAAAATTTAAAATAATTCATTATTTTGGCATTTATAAGGTAAGTTTAAAAAAATAATTAAAAACAGCGTTTTTAAAACACCAACATGGACAAAATAACATAATTTTTTTAAAACCAACAATGAATTTAATTTTTTTTTAATTATAATTATTTTTGATTTCTCATCATGCCATTTATCAGAGCCGAAGGTTACAGTCAATATGCCGTTGGCATTCGGATGGAGGTCATTCCTGAAGCAATAAAAAAACAAAAATTCAAAAAATTTTAGAAAAAATTTGTTTTGGATGATGAGAAAACAAAAATAATTTTAAATTTGTACAAATTTTTATTTTTATGCGAATTCTTTTTGTTGTATGAATTCAAACTCTCCTATCGATAAAAATTTTGTCAAAGATTATGAGCGTTTAAGAGCAAAAAGCATGATCCTTTAATTTTTTCAAAAATTCAATCGAATAAAATAAAGAAACGGCTGGATGAATTAAATTGAAACTACCTATTTAGTTTTTTTTTGGGTATATTGAACTGTAAAAGGCACACTTAACATTAATGTTTTTCTCCATATTTTTGATTTAGCGCGTGATTTTCTAAAAAGCTACCAAAAGGCCTTTTTTTCATGATATTTTAAATTCATGTAGAGTATGTAAATTTTTTTTTCAAAAAAACAATAGCAAATTCTTGTAGGACATTTTTTCAAGTTTTTGAACCCCACCTTGAATTTTTTGTGCAATCTTTGGTTGCTGAGATATCGATAGTCAAAGAGGAAATGATCCTTTTCCATTCAAAGGCCGATATCTCAGCAAAAAATGGTCGTATCAAAATCTAAAAAAAAAACAAATTGAAGCTGAATGAACAAGTTATCCGGTCCATATGGTCCGTGGACCAAAAAAGAAAGCCAACAAAATTTCGATTTTTTTTTATCACGGTATTCGTTAAAATTGAGCGTTGCACGTTGCTTTGAAAATTTTTTCATCTAAAAATCTCAAAACTAGAAATTTCAACCCCCAAATTGCTTTTTTTACGGCTCCAATACGACCACTTTTAACGAAGATACAGCTATCCAAAAATCGCTAAAAATTTTGATTTTTTTATCCTTTAATTTTTTCTATTACTGTACCTTTCGGTTTTTAATCGTAATCGTACAAATATAACCGTTATCGTAATCTTGTATTAGGTAATAATAGGGTGATTAAAAAAAATCAAATAATTTTTTTTTACTTCCGACACTGAAAAATTGGTTCTTATGCACCTCTAGAAAGTGCTCACCAAATTTGAGCTCTTAATATTAATAGGAAGATTATTGAAAAATAATCATTGTTAAATGAGTAGGTATGACATATTTTTGTAGGAAATTTAACACTCTACAAAAAAGGTCTGATGTGTTTAATTGATTACTTTAACCGTTAGGAAGATATTTGTATCAGTACGCATTGGGATTTGGATACGTTTTATACACGGTAGAGCGTTACATTTTCTACAAAATATGTCATACTCATTTGACAATAATTATTTTTTAATGTGTCAAAAAATTAATAATTTTTTTTTTTTTTTATAAATTCTTTAAACTTTTATCTTGAATATCTTTTAAATGGTTAGAGTAATTGCTTAAGCACATCAGTCCTTCCTACAAAAATATGTATAAAGATTTGATTAAACGATTACTTAATAATGAAATATGCTCTTTTATAAGGGACTAAAGAAAAAATGGAAAACTGAGTCCAATTTTGGTAATCACTTTTTAGATGTGCCTAAGAACCAATTTTTTAGTGTCGGAAATTAAAAAACAATCGTTTTTTAATCCCTCTGCATCAACAACTTAATGCTCATTTGGTTTTTAGCAGGGCTGGATGCTCTCGTGTATGAGTTTTGGTTCGTCCCGCGCATGACGTCACTTGATGAGTAGTTGCCGTGCGAATACACGAACAATAGTAATATTATCAAAGAAAATAGAGAAATTTCTGGACATAGTGCGTTTTTATTAAACTTAATATTGAAGAAAGTGTTATAATATGGATAATAAATGCTTTCAGTCCTTGATAACATTTAGGGCTGTAGTTTAAGCGTTGGTGTTTTAAATTAAACTTATAATCACTGTCCAGAAAATGTTTATAGGAAACAGAAGCGGTCTTAACGTAAATATTGTCTATTATTTTTGTGGCATTTAAACACTGTTTCCACAAATCAAACTTTTTCGGGAATCGATTAAATTTAATGTTTTTATTTAAAGGGTTTTTCTTGGACTGGTTGTCCGAATTGCATCCAAATATGCCACACCGCATTTTAATAAATGCAAATGGCACTATACAATCTAAAACACAAACAAAACAAGTTAACGCAACACAAAAACAATAATAAACAAACCTAACAGGTTAACCTAACGCAATAACAATAATTTGAACGCTGAAAAGTAATTCGAACCTTACCGAACACAAAAAAGACAAGTTAAACAAAAAGTAGAGCAAGTTAACATCCAAAAGCAACACTCATCAAGTGACGTCATTAAGCCCCGCCCAACATGCGCACCATCCTATCTTAAGGTGTATGTATCTTGGTTTTTAGGAGGCTTCAATGCGCACGCGGCAAACGTGGTGACCGCCATGTTCATAGCAACTGGTCAAGATCCGGCCCAAAACGTCTCGAGCAGCAACTGCATCACCATAATGGAGCCGTGGGCGGAGAACGGCCAAGATCTCTACATATCCTGCACGATGCCGTCGTTGGAAATCGGCACGATAGGGGGCGGCACCATTCTTCCCGCCCAGTCGGCCTGCCTGGACATGCTGGGCGTGAAAGGTCCGCACGCGACCGAGCACGGCCGGAACGCGAAGCAGCTGGCCAGGGTGATATGCGGCGCCGTGTTGGCCGCAGAGCTGTCGCTGATGGCCGCCCTGGCCAGCGGCCATTTGGTCAAAAGTCATTTGAAATACAACAGGTCGTACTCTGAGAAAGATAGTCTGCCGGCCAGTAGTTCATGTGATACGTAGGTTTACAAGTTACCTGGCATTGTAGCTCTAAATGTTTTAATGTATAGCAACAAATCAATGGAAATGCTGATGGTTTTTTATTACTTTTGATTTAAATGCGGTGGCGCAAAAACGATCACGGTTTAGACTATTACATTTTATACAGGGTGTATGGCTTGTTGGCCATATCAAACAGTGATGTCAGGAAGGTGAGAATAAAAATCCCCCACAGACCATTCAAATTTTCCCTAAAATTCAATAGATTTTTTTTCAGCTGCCCCCTGTTTTAATAAGTAAAAATAAGATTTTTGAAAGTCTTAATTTATCTTAAAAACTCTGAAACACTGACTTATTAAGTCGGAAAAAGTCAGAATAAGACTTATTAAGACATACTAATAGAAAGATTTGGGAGTCTTCTGGAAGAGTTAATAAGACGTAATAAGACTTTTAGTAGTTCAACTGGTAGGTACCTTCAGCAATAAAAATAAATATCCGGAATAATTCAGAGAGGTTGTATTTGGTTATTGTAAAATGAAACAAAAAGAAAAGTATTTATTAACATTTTTGCTGTGTTGTTATAAGCCAAGTTTATTGCATAATTACCTATATAATAACATATGTAAGGTGTTATAATTATAACAATTATAATTTTTTACATACGATGCGCTTGACTTGCTTTCATTGTTGACACTGTACGTTTTATTTTAATAGTTTCTTTTTATATTCGCAAATATTCATCTAACCATTGTTCCAAACAATTGTTCTAAAAACAATAACACATGTGTTCTAGACGCAATATCGATTTTCACCAATTAGACCCGATTGCATATTCCTTCTGTCAGTCTGAAGTATTTTACTCGAAAATCGGGTATTTTCGTCATGTTTGCGGGTAGAATTTTAAAGCGGGTAAAATCGGGTAATTTGCAAATTTCGATCAAAATAATAACTAAAGTAAATAATATTGTATATTTACTAAATATGCACAATTATTTTATTCTTTCCTGTTACATTTTTATTGACTAATATAACAATTGTTTTTTGTTATAAATTTAAGTAAACAATGCTTCCCTATATTGTAAACATTGCTTTTGTGTTTTTATAAGCCTTATAACAACACAAAAAGTGTTTATAAATACTTTTCTTTGTGTTTTCTTTTGCAATAAACAAATACAACATCTCTATATAATATATTATTATAATAATAATATTATTTATTTTAATCGCTATAGGTATACTTGCCATTTCTCTGCTAAAAGTCTTATTAAGTTTTATTAACTTTTCCAGAAGACTCCCAAATCTTGCTATTAGTCTGACTTCCTAAGACCTATTTAGACTTTTTAAGACCTAATAAGTCTTAAGCCATATTAAAAAATTAAACTATAATTATTTTTCACAAAAATTTTTACTGTCATTCTCAATAAACATGTAAGTTTTTATTTATTGTCAACTTTTGTTAAAATGAATAAATTCATGCAATAGCTAGGCAATAGATTTAATATTATTTTAGCCCTTAGCTTAACGTGATGGACATGTACAGGGTGATGGTTTGTTATATGAATTATGTTCAGAATTTTCCAAGGAATCGAAAAATAAATTCGTATATAGGGTGATCCATTGAAAAAAATAAACTTTGTTTTTCCCTGTATATTGATCAATTTTCCATTTTTTTATACGTCTTCAATTGAATTTTTAATTTTTTATGTTCCTATTTCAAATTATTGACAAAATTTGGATTTTTCCGTATATAATGGTAACCATTATAACTGCTCCGCCTAGCAACTGAAGTAATTAACTCATTGTTGGGCATCAGGGAATGGCCGATTTCATTATTCTCTAATTTGAACCAATCTTTTTTTTCCCTTGTGAGATTTTAAATTAACTACCAGTGTTAACGTCCTTCAGAGAAATCCATCCTCTATTAGACAAAACGCGTTTGTCAGGGAATCTTGAAACACCCACCAAACTGTTTGGATAAATCCCTTGAGACCCCGCTAAAAGGTTAAAGCAGGGATATTATCAATAAATACGATTGCATTTCTATGACGGGACCCCGACTTTGTCTCTCCTTAGTTAAATAAGTCACTTATATTTTACTCTTTTATTAAACAGATCCGCGCACCACCAAAGACAAAGTTGAACTTCATTTTAACCATTTAGGCACAGTATACCTTAGACTGGGCCAAAAAAATCAACTATTTTTTTTTAAAGTATATCAAAAATATGGTTTGAGGTGACAAAAAAAATTATTGTGAAAGTTTGAGTCCATAATATTAATATTAAGAGGTCTATCATCGCAATTTTATTTATTTTTCATCAGCAAGTTTTTGTCTCAGAACTCCCAAACCATTGAGTTTAACAAAATTGACCCAAAAATATTTTTTGAAGAAAATTGAATTCTCTACAAAAAAGGTTAAAACGAAATTTACTGTCAGATGAACCGTTTCCTTAAAATCATGCCTTAAAAATTGTTATAGTTTTACATTTTGATCTTTTAACTTTGGAATTTTGTATTTCATGTAAAAATCAGTACCCAGAAAAAAAACGATGAATATTCTTATGGGAAATCAAATGCTTCACAAAAAAGCCTCTTAACATTTTTGGCTAAATTCACTCAATCAAAAGTTATTCAAGGTTAAATTTTAACCCTGAATAACTTTTGATTGAGTGAATTTAGCCAAAAATGTTGAGAGGCTTTTTTTAAAGCATTAAATTTCCCATAAGAATATTTTATGGGTACTGATGTTTACATTAATTACAAAATTCCAATTTAAAAGATCAAAATGTAAAACTATACCAATTTTTAAGGCAAGATTTTAAGGAAACGGTTCATCTGACGGAAAATTTCACTTTAACCTTTTTTGTAGAGCATTCAATTTTCTTCAAAAAATGTTTTCCAGTCAATTTTGTTAAACTCAATGGTTTGGGAGTTCTGAGACAAAAACTTGCTGAGGAAAAAAAATTAAAATTGCGATGATAGACCTCTTAATATTAATATTATGGACTCAAACTTTCACAATATTTTTTTTTGTCACCCCAAACCATATTTTCGATATACTTTTCAAAAAAAAAAAATAGTTGATTTTTTTGGCCCAGTCTAGTATACCGTGAATTAGGTTTTAAATTGTATAAAAAAATATACTGTTCTTTTTTTAATAACCAAACCTGGGCTTACCCTAAATTTTAAATCGTGTTCATTTTTGCGCCACCCTTAAATTAGGCTTGATTTTTACCATAGACATCTGTATGATTATTAAAAATCTAGTCAAGGTGGTATTGTGTTCCTAATTAAACAATTACCCGCCTACGATTATGAAACCAAAAATACCTACTTATTTAATTTGTAAATAATTATTATAAAAGACTAATTAATTAGTTAAATCTACTTATTAATAAATTAATCTAATTCAACTTGTCTTTTACTATAGTACTAACTCATGTAAACTGTTTGTCAGTTAATGTCACTTTTATGTAGAATGTCATATCAGCGGTATTTCGCATAAAAACAGAAATTTACAGTAGGATAAATGAAGAAAAATTTCACAATAAAATGCAGCCGTGTAGCGATTCAGGTTCATCAAACAATTGTTGTCAGTGTTGTTGTCCTAAACGAAAAAAAAGAAAACAAATAGATTGTGGGTGCCCTCCACCGGGGACAAGATATTGTCCCCCACCGGTAAATATAGGGGACTGTGTACGCCCTATGCCTCCCCCGCCGAAAAATGTTCCAGCAAATTCCTGCGGAGACTGTAAGTAATATTACTAAAATTTTAATTATTTATAATCAAAATACTTCCATTAATGTATATTACAATGGGTCGAATATCCGCTTTTTTCGAAATTATTATTCTTTGGTCAACATCCTAGGCTCGCCAAATGCATAGACAAGGGATAGGTTGGGTGGGCGGCCACCAAATGGACTTAAAATAATAATTTTTCACGCCATCTCTTACGAAATTTAATTGTCTCTAAAAAAGGTCCCCATCAATTTTGACTTAAATATTGAAATTTCGCAGTTTATCTCGTAATTTACCAGAAAAGTAACTTTTTTGTCAATATTTACTTATCCTAAGTAAACATTTCTTGGGTACATTTTGTTAGTAAATTTAATTGTCTACAAAAAAGGTCCTCATCAATTATTTCATAAATATTGCAGTTTCAGAGATAATTGCGATTTTATCTTTAAATTGTCATTTTTTTAACAAAACTTATTTTATAAAAAAAAAAGTTTTTTTTATATAGGTAGGTACAGTGGTGCACACTGAATTTTTGAAGACTATCAAAATCTTCCTTAGAAGACAGCTAACTAGTCCTGTCATTTTGACAGCGAAAAAAAATGGTCAAAATTCTGTGTCCGCCACTGTAATTTGTTAAAAAATTTGTTTGGCTACAACAAAATTCGTTATAAATATTGACAAAATTTACTTATTTTATTAGTAAACATACAAAGTGACCCATTTGTTTGCGACTCACCCCTGTGAAATCTTTATTTATTGTGCGATTTTAACCGGATTTGTTTTAAAGTGTAGATCTTGATAACCTGGATTTTTGGAGCAAAAGACGCCATATAAGTACAAAATACAAGGCCTACTTTGTCAGTTTTTAAGAGTAAATTTTTAATAATTCATATTAGCGATTTTTTTAAACAAAATCTAAACACCGCACTGGATTCACCACCACTCAAAACGACACTATACTAAATTTTATTGAAAAATTTTAAGAAAAAAAATGCACAAAAATAACTACAAAAATTTATTTTGTAGAGTTATTCATGAAAAAAACATTGAAATAAAATTAAACTAATATTAACATGGTACTATTACTATAAGTTTAATTTTATTTCAATGTTTTTTCATGGATAACTTGACAAAATAAATTTTTGTAGTTATTATTGTCCATTTTTTTTTCTTAAAATTTTTTAATAAAATTTAGTATAAGGTCGTTTTGAGGGGTGGTGAATCCAGTGCCGTCCTTAGATTTTGTTTAAAAAAATCGCTAATATGAATTCTTAAAAATTTACTCTT